ATTCTTTTTTTTTTTTCCGGTCACCTTGCGCCCGCCATCGCCACCGCCATTTCCGTATCAATTAGGCGATGGCGGCGGCGCGGCGGCGGCGCGGCGACGTCGAAATATGCACACAACCAAATTTTTTTGGTGTCGAAACACCCAAATTTCTTCTCTCTTCTCGTTTTGCTTTCGTCATCGTCATCATCATCATCATCATTTCAAAAAAAAAAAAAACGGGGGTGGGGGGGGGGGGTCGTCGGACGCTTTTTAATAATTGAGTTAAGTCGTCACTTTTTTTTTCTACTTCAAAAGAGAGCTGCTCTAGCTCATCGCATAAAAAAAATAATATTTGTAAAATTGTGGGCGGAGCATGCGCCTATAAATTCGTCCGACCTTCCATCACTCACATTATAATTCAATCAACGCTTTTTTTTTGTCTGCCTGCTCATCTTTTGATCCTTCACATTTGATCTACCCAATCATTTTTTGTGATCTACTGCGCCTTTAAGCTTTGCAATTTTTTTGATCTACCTCAAAATGCTCGAATTTCTAACCTTTAAACTATTTCAAGCTCGCCATGCTCCCTGCGAGACCCGCGTCGTCTGCACACCAGCCAGAAAGGGGGCGGAGTTTCGGAACGAGATTCGTCATCTCGGGACCCCCATCTCTCGGCACGGCGGGCCACGCCCATTTCAAGTCATGTTGAGCTGAACTAGCGGGTCCGAAAAGAGCGAGCGAAAGCGAGAGGGTGCCGAGAGAAAAAATTGAATTGGTGTGGGTGGGCGGTGTCGGATGGCCCCCACCCACCCACCGACTCGGCGGGTATTTCTACACACCCCGTCATTCCGATTTTCGAAAACCATTCTTCGATGGTCCCGCCGAGTTGGTTGGCTCATTCTCTTTTTTTTTCAAGCTTCACCTTGGAGCTCTGATGATCCATGATGTGTGAAGACGCTCTCAATGGTCCCTTCCCTTTACCAGGTCCGATAGCTACTTATCAATCTTATCTAGTTGCTTCAATCATCCTTTGAGCCATCAGCTCAAGCTTCTTTTGAGCTGGACCATCGAGAAGCCGCCTACTATCGAATGAATCGCGCTAATTGCCTAATTAAGTGACGACCAATTAAGCGATGCTCCAAAAAATTGTCCCAACATCATCAAATCCAAATTTAGAATTGTGTTGGTGGCTCCAATTTGCTAATTAATTAATTGCCCACCGTTTAAGAGTATCATCGCTAGCGGACAATTGCCAGCGAGGTGTCCGCAGATGGAATTGGCCTTTGGCGATCTGCGGACAATTTTTAATTTTTGCAATTGTCCGCAGGTGTGCGAAATGATTGAATGCTTCGAGTTGGTCCACAATTTTGCTGCCATGCGCCTTTAAGAATTCATCAGTCGCGGATTACTGTAGGACTAGTATAAGTGGAAATCGAACGACATTTTCGCAATTCAACTCGTGGTTTTTTGACAACCACAAACACCCCAAAATTGTCCGCAGCACAAATTGGATTACTGTAGACGCTACAGTACACCGTCTCGCGGATTACGGTATCACTAGTTATCGCAGTCGTCGTCGCGAAACGGAAGCCCAAAACCACCCACAACTACCGCACCCTATAATTTGTTAAGAAATTTGAAATCGGAAACAAAACAACAAAAATTTTTTGTGTGAAAGGCGCCAAAAGAAAAATTGAGAGGAATTTTTTTGTTTCTCGTCTCACTAAAAAAACACCCTCGCACTAATTATAGGGGTTGGCGAATGGGAGTTTGTGGCCGCCCCAATTATGAGCATATATAAAACGGTTGCTCGTCGATATGCCACAAAAATCATTTGTGCGGCTCCAAACGCCCCTCATCACCCGCCAATTGTCGGCAGCTCTTTGAATTTCACTTTTCCGTTTGGCACTCATCTGCATCTCTTTTTGCTTTAACCACTATTCTGAAAACGGCTCGCTTCCTTGGGGATTTGTAATTTCCGTAGTACTCGCCACAAACATATTTAATTATTTAATTACAATCACACCAAAAATCAAATCTTTAGGGATGAGTAATTGATTGAAAAACTGAAGATCGGCGAGACGGGTTGCGAGTTTACCATCTTTCGCGCAAAATGCGCGCGCCTAACCACCTGCGCTACCACAGATAAACGGCGGCATAGGCACAATGGAAGCATAATGGAACGGCTGTGGATATCATAGGAATCATATATGCAAGTTATATGGAAGCATAATGGAAGCATTTTTTTGCGGAACCGCGTGTTTCGTATATGGAATGAGCCGTATGCCTTCCATATGGGAAAATAAGAAAACAATTTGATTGCTGTATTCAAAATTTATTTCATATTAACACATTTATTTAATTTAAAATAAAAAAAAACAACAATGAAATGAATTTCAATTAAGATATAATCAAACCATTAGTTACTGGCAACTGCCGAACTATTCGAATCATTGTCAGTACTGACATCGAGCGGGACGCTGTAATAAGTAGATTATAATGGGCCTATTAATTTGAAAAACTTGTAAACCATTGTTACGTAAACTAAATTTTTCGAGAAAATAATTTTGAAAAAAATTCTTTAATTTTTGACAAAAAAAAACACAAAAAATCTTGAAAATTCATTGAGAAAAAGCAAAAGGACAAAAATTTTGAAAACGAATTTCGAAAATGTGAGGCGTGGCCGCATTGTGCAAAGCGGCGCACGGTTTTGCAATGCTGCGGCACGCCTCTTCTACGCGCGTCTGCTACCAGTTTGGAGCAAATTGTGAGTAGTTTGCGATGCCAATTTCGGAAAAACCGGCAAAAATATATTAATACGACTAAATTGTAGTTGGCAATCTTTAAACAAAGTGAGGAACAGTTGACTGAATTAACATAAATTTGAGTAACATAAGTCATTAAATGGTAGAAGCTAAATTTCGTCCGTTGTGTATCATGTAATTTTCAAATTTTCATTGTTTATATGATAGCATAAGTTTTTTGTATTGATTTTTCTAAAAATTGTCTTGGTCTGCCGTCCAGACGCCAATTGTATAATGTTTATTGACATATGATTATTTTATCCATATTCCATCCATATTTGTTCCACGGCTCGCAAACACCGGAAGCATATTCATCCCGTTTTCATTCCATCCATATTCGTCCCATAATTCTTCCACAGCCACTAAGAATTACATTATGCTTCCTATATGGAAGCATTATGCTTCCGTTCCACAGATTTCCCACAATACTTCCATTATGCTTGCGTCGCGCTTAATCAGTGACAGGCGATGATTGCTTCCCATTTTTCGAAAGGCGTATATGAGCAGCGCGCGCTTTCGCCCAACAAAATTTTAAAAAAATGAAAAATGACGCAATTGCGATAAAAAATTAATCAATAATTCGAACCGAACTCGAAAACGTCGAAAGAAACAATAAAGCTGATAAGAATCGGCAAAGGCACTTCGACGCAATGGCCGGAACAATTTCTCATGTTTTAATTGATGATTAATCCGGCCGGCCGAGATAATCCCGTTATCCTTTCTTCTTCTCCTTTTTTTTGAAGATGATCCAAATTGCGTAATTTGCCGACAAGATCATTGACGTTCGTCGAAAGGATGTATAAAAGCTTCCCATTTTTAATCATTCGCTCAATTTCACTCGGTTTATTTTTTGCTGCACATCGTCCAGCTCGCAAGCTCGTCCAGCTCCTAATAGAAATATTATCGTGTGTGTGTGTAGTTTGAAGTCACCCCCGTTATATAGTAGTTAATTGGTCCCCACTTCTCATTTTGGAACCCCGCAATTTTACTATATTTATCTATAGTTTGATTCGCGCTCACCACATCCCCCCCATCCCAGAAAGAAACCTTATGGTCCCTAGACGAGGAAGAAGGAAAAAAAAAAGTAAACCAGCGATTTTTCTTTGGTAGAATACCTCAATTTTAAAATTTTGGCATAATTAATTAAAGAAATAAATGTTGGGACCTTCTTTTGTGCCCTAAAGCGGGAGATCAAAAAACTGAAATTTTTTGATCCCAACCAAAAAAGCGGTTAATCCGATATCCGGAATGCGTCAAAAAAAAAATGGATGATGATGATGATGAGCAGGAGAAGAAGCTGGGTGTGTTGCAAGTCATTCCCCTCCTCTTCCTCGCCTAATCGCCATTTTAAGCAGACCCCCCTCTGCCTCGTTTTTGGCCAGTGATAAGCTTCCCCCTATCATCCTCATTGTGACTCAACACTTCCCCCCCTCCTCCTCTCAATTCCCCTATTATTCAATCTCCTAGGGGAGGTCCCTCATCCGTCTATTATAAAGGCCATTGGTGGCGATAATTATTGGTGGACGCAAAATTGTCATCATTATTATTATGATAGGTTGGGCACTTTTTTGTTTGTTGAGGGCAGGTGGTGCCTTTAGGCAATTCCTAATGCGCCTTTAAAGGTGCACACATCGAGTTTTTTTTTGGGGGGGGGGGGGGATTTAAAGGCGCAAAACATTATTACTTGAAAAAGGTCTTGTAGGAAGCCCGCACGAACTGCAAATGATCTAGGGGTCTCGCGGCGATTTATTGATCTCAAGTGCAAATCGAGAAACGACGACGACGACGACGACGACGTCGTTGCTCGATTTCAGCTGTCGGCTTCTCCCTAAAAATACACTCGACATTAATTGGCACGAAAAATTCAATGCGCGACGCGTCGGCATCGCTAATTGCGGCGAACAGCTGAATCGTCGCTGCGATCGGGGGGGGGAATCGTGACGAAATCTGAAATCGCTCATTCTGACGATGTGATGACGACGAGGCGGCTCCGATGCGCGCTGTGCCAACAGATTCTAAAAATACCAATGGAGGGCGGGACTCTGAGACATCTATACATCTCTATATATATATATATGAATGGGATTGTCTGAATTTCAGCTTGTCGATTTCGCTGGTCCCCCCCCCAACACACCCAAAATTTGTTTGCTCTAATTTCAGATCGCGCCCGCCTTCCCCCAATTTCCTTGGGAATCAGTCGATGAATAGCCACGACTGATGGACCATTTGAGACGTCTCAATCAGAATTTGGACGAGCTGAGTTTGGATAATCATCAGGTTGGTTTTAGTGGTGTTCATAGTTTGGTGAGACGGCGGGTGGGCGGAGTCCGTCCACCCTCCATGGTGGCGCCCGATGATGATGTTGGTTATTCGCAGAGTCCGCCGGGTTCAGTCGACAGCAGCTATTCATCGAGTTCGAGTGTTCTGCCGGAGGTCGTCAAACCACCCCCCCCCCCAAAAAAAATGAAGGGACCTAAATTTGATTGTCTCATTTCCAGCTCGACGCCTATTGCGATTTGGTGCGATTCGAGGAGCCGCTCGACGTCGAGTTCTTCACGGCGATGTCGAAACGCCACCACCACCATCACCATCCTCATTCTCATCAGCCGTCGTTCGATTACGGTAGCGCGTTGGTTGAAAATCATCAATCACAATGATCCATTCGCAGACACCCAACAATCGAGCAGCTCGTCGCGCAAAGAATCCGCGTGCTCCGACGGCTACGATCCCGAGTTTGACGAGCTCATCGCGAAATTGGTGGTAGGTTCAAAACGCAAGAAAAATTGTCGAGCTTCCCCTCTCCCTCTCCTTTCTCCTCCTCTCCTCATTCCTCGCCTCTATTTATTCATTTATGCGTTGTCAGACCCCCACCTCCCCTCCCCCAACCACCCTCGTCTTTGTGTTTCCCCCTCGACACACAAAGAAGAAGCTGGACGAGGTGTGTACGGTAGTGCGATGAGGCACCCTCATCACCGCTATTGTTCTACAATTTTTTTTCTTCCTCGCAAACCCCAATACAAAATAATAATCATCACGATGGTTGCGAGTCGCAGCTAGCTCGTCGAACTCCAACCTACACACTATTTTTATGCGCCGCCTCTCGGCCGCCCATTAGGCGGACCCTAGTCACCATGTAATCAACGCGTCCCTTAATTGGCATGTTTTGTGCGACGCTCGCCACTCCCAAATTTTTTCAGAGCACCAGCGAGGAAGCCAACGCCACACAGCAGCAGCAGCAGCCGCAGCCCAACTACTTCCAGGTAGTTGGATTTGTATGATGATTATCTCGAATTCCGATTTCAGCCTCAACCGTCGTCGTCGTCGCAAGAGCCGTCGTCATCGTCGTCGTCGTCGTCGTCGTCGGCGATGAATCAGACGCTTCACATCAAGACCGAGTTCGGCTCGCCGCTGGCGACCGCCGCCGCCGCCGCCGCCGCCGCCACCACCGTCACACCGTCGTCGGCGCTTCAGATGCAGACGCACGAGTTCCTCATACCGCAATACTCGTGAGTGGTCCCAGCGTCAATTTCACATTTTTGTTGTCTCCGATTTTCAAGGTCCCACGTCGTCGATTTCATGGCGGCCAGTCAGCAGCATTTTGTGCCGCAATTCGGCTATTATCCGCCGGCGTTTCCGATGTCGGACTCGCGACGCGGCAGTCAAGGGACCACTGGGTACGGACCCTCATTTTTTTTTTGACATTTGTCGACAATTTTCAGAAGCTCGACGAACACCGGCGGAACGCCGTCGCCGCACGCCGCCACGTTTTCGACGTCGCCGCCGCAATTGCAATTTTTGAGGTTTTTGCCAAAAACATCGAATTCGACGCGAAATTGCCGACTCGAGTGGTGCTCGACGAAAATCGCGCAATTCGACGCGAAATTGCGGACTGTCGGCAAAATGCCAAAAAAACCACAAGAGAAGCCGGAGAAAATATGCCATTCGTCGCGAGACCTTTCAACAAATTTTGCTCTCTCCCTCTCTCGATGCCTATATTTTGATGTGTATTCGAATTCGAATGAGCCCGATTTATAATTATAGGCCTCGAGCCGCATAGTTATCGCGACATTTCGCACAATTTCTGATCGAATATGTGCATTGATGCCCAAATTGGCGGGTTCAAATCATTTTTGTGTGTCTGCGCTTCATTTGACGCCGAATTGCGGACACCGCTTGTGGTTGTGTCTTCTTTTCGCATACATCGCATTTGACGACATTTCGCAGACTTTGACGCCAACGCGCGAATTTGACACCGAAATTGCGGGCAATTTGTGGGGGGAAAAAGTTGGTTCTCATCTATACACCTGATTTGACGCGAAATTGCGGAATTTGAAAATTTCATCATTGCGCCGAATTTGACGCGAAACCACGGGTTTGTCCTTTTATAAAAATGAAATCGGTTTGAAATTTGACGCGAATTTGCGGACGTCAAATGAAACGCAAAAATTGACGCGAAATTGCGGAATTTGAAAATTTCATCATTGCGCCGAATTTGACGCGAAACCACGGGTTTGTCCTATTACAAAAATGAAATCGGTTTGAAATTTGACGCGAAATTGCGGACGTCAAATGAAACGCAAAATTTGACGCGAAATTGCGGACGTCAAATGAAACGCAAAATTTGGCGCGAAATTGCGGAATTTGAAAATTTCATCATTGCGCCAAATTTGACGCGAAACCACGGGTTTGTCCTTTTATAAAAATGAAATCGGTTTGAAATTTGACGCGAAATTGCGTACGTCAAATGAAACGCAAAATTTGACGCGAAATTGCGGACGTCAAATGAAACGCAAAATTTGACGCGAAATTGCGGTCGTCAAATGAAACGCAAAATTGACGCAAAATTGCGGACATTTTTAATTAAAAAAAAACGAAACACCAAATTCGACGAAAAATTGCGGACATTTCAAAAAATGCGCAATTTCAGAAACATTTTGACCGGCGAGCCGACGAGCGGCTTCGGCATTCCGGCGGTCGACGACGACGCCGACAAACGATGCGCGGTGTGCAACGATCGCGCCGTCTGCCTTCACTACGGCGCGAGAACGTGCGAGGGATGCAAGGGCTTCTTCAAGGTGGGGGATGGCCGGCAAAAATCGTCTGCGCCTTTAAACTCACCGCCGCCATTTTGCAGAGGACCGTCCAGAAGAGCTCGAAGTACACATGCGCCGGCCAGAAGAATTGTCCGATCGACAAACGCTACCGTAGCCGGTGCCAGTATTGCCGATTTCAAAAGTGTCTCCAAGTCGGCATGGTCAAAGAAAGTGAGTAATGTTTAATTAATTAGCGAGTGCTACCATGTGTTTGCGTAAGATGTGTCCAAAAAAGGTTGAGGACCTGGTGGGGGGGGGGTTTGAATAATTGTGGTTTTTTTTTTCAAAATTTTCACATTTCTAGTCGTCCGAAACGGCTCGTTGTCGGGCCGCCGCGGTCGCCTCTCGTCGAAGACCAAATCGCATCGATCCGATGATCAGCCGTCGCCGCCGCTTCCGTTGCTCTCGCAATTGGCCAAAGCCAACATTCCGAATTTCATCGGGAGCGCGTCCGGCAAGAAATTGGTAATTTCGCTTGTTTTTTTTTGTTCTCCTCACACTCATTGTTTCTTTTTTTTCCAGAAGAGCCTTGATGTTCATGAGAGCTTGACCTACTTCCAGTCCGAGTTCGACGCGATCGAATCGCTGATTAAGACGCTGCCGCTGATTTGCGACCTTCACGCGTCGGACCTTCGTGTGCTGCTCGCGCGCTCGTTCTTCGCCATCGCCGCCGTCCGATTCATTAATCGGATGATCACGCGAAGTAGCCAAGAGATTGTGTTCGAGAACGGCGACGTTGCCGACATTCTCGGTTTTCCCGAGCCGTTTCGCAAGATTCTCTATGAGATGGCGTCACGCCTGCCGGCGTTCGCCTCGTGCGTCGAATGGGACGCCGACACGTTCGCGGCGCTCGTCGGACTTCAGTTTTTGGCCGGAAATCAAGGTAAAACGAGATGGAAAAAGTTTCGCTCCCGGGTGGGCTTGAACCACCAACCTTAACCGAAATTTCGGTTAACAGCCGAACGCGCTGCCTATTGCGCCACGGAAGCTGTTGGCTGCGAGCGCACTGGTGGCGTATATGTGAATGCCCCGCCTGTCTCCCTTCACTTTCTCGGCAATACTTTCAATTTAAATTGTTGCAGATCAGCACTTGCCGCTTCAGAGGCGATGCGATGTCGATAAAGCGCAGAGTACGATATTGAATGCCTTAAAGGATCATTGCAGCAGCTCACAGAACAAATTGGCGAAGGTTGTTGGATTGGTGAGTGATTTTTCACTTTTTTTAAATTTTACAAGGATAATCGTTAAAAATTATTTTTAGTTTTTAAATTCAAAAAAAAATGCAAAATCAAGTTAGCTATCCACAAAAATCGGTTCTAGAGGTGCTCAAAATGTCAAAAACCGCGAGCGGGGCTCGAACCTGTAGGTGTCCGCGCGGCAGCGCAAAACTCTATCAACTGCGCCATGCGCGAATCGCTCGCGTTGCCGCAAACTGCGTATATCAAACCGTCAGCAGCTAACCCAAAATTAATTTCAGAGCAAGGAGTTCGACAATTTCCACGGAATCGGAATGCAATTGGTCAACTACATTGTAGCCACGTATCCGCAGCCGCCAAAATTCTGCACGGACATCGTAATGCTTCAAGGAATCCCGAACGAGATGGTATTCGTCAATAATCCGTGGTCGAATTAGGCAACTAAAAAAAAACTATATATAGATATTCATTATTTTGCATATCATGTTATATATTTTTATTATTATTTTTATTTTTTTCCTTCTCATTTCACTCATTCAATTATTATTTTGCTCTACCGGTTGCCACTTATTTTGCCCCCCATCGCAAGCTGCATATTGAAAATCGATATTTTGGAATCTCAAAAAAAATTTTTATTCCAGGTTTTATTTTTTTTTGTTTTTTTTCCTCTCCACCTTCATTTATTTGTTTTGTTCTCTCGTTTTTCTAGAATAAATTATTTTTTTTTCAAATTTGGCGCCATTCTGTCGGTTGGCCTTCATTTTTATTACCCCCACCATTTTTGGGCATATTCGAGGCGCCATGAGTCGTTTTTTTTTTCGTCTTCTGTTCGACCAAAAATTATAGGATGGGGTTACGGTAGACGAAGACGAGGGGGGGGGGCGTGGCCGAGCTTTCGGTGAGCACCTGATTTATTCGACGAGCGTTCGTCATGAAGCCGACCGTTGACGATTTCTGGTCCGCAAATTTCGTACCAACCGTAAGTCGCCCATTTTTGTGCATTTTTGCGTAAGCGCACCACCCTTTAAAAAATTTGAAATTGTGCAATTTTAGGTGCTAGTTTTTCCCCCACAATTTTTTTTAGTAAAAATCAAAAATTTCGCATTTTTTCGCGAGAAAATCGAATTTCTGCATTTTTGTGTAGGCGACCACCTTTAAAAATTTGAATTTTTTTAAAAACTATAATAAATTTTGTTTTGGTTTCTTTTTTTTGCAAAAATCAAAAATTTTGCATTTTTTCGCGCGAAAATCGAATTTCTGCATTTTCGCCTAGGCGACCCCCTTTAAAAATTTGAATTTTTTCAACCCCCTTTAAGAAGAAAGGAAGAAAAATGTGAACATCAAGCGAAACGAAAAAAATTGTCCGCAGGTGACTTTTGCCAATAATAAACAATGCCACACCCCGAGCTCGCTAGCTCGACTCATCTATTTGACCTCTCTAGCGACTCCCTCTCTCTCTCTCTTTCTAGCTGACGGGGAAAAAAATGAGAACCATATGATGTCGATGATAAATTGCTTTCGTTTCGAAACAGTTTTGTGCGCTCGGCGTCTCGCGCCCGCGCGCGCGTGCGCGCGCCTCTCTGCGCCCTCTCACACCGCCACACTATTTCGACGAAGCGCGCGCGCGCCCCAACACACACACAAATTGGTGAATATCGGTTTGGGATTCTTCGAGGGGCCGCCGCCGTCGTCACAAATTATTCACACTTCATTTCATCCCCCCCCCAGCCCTTATCTATTCTCCATCGCGCACACAGGTGTTTTCTCAAAGCGTTTCATCTGCCCCCAACCTCTCTCTTGTGTGAAACGTGCTGCGGACAACTCAAATCGGTTGTCCGCTTTCGATTTTTGGTGAAATTGCCATTCTCAATTTTTTCGCGTTTTCATTTGTTGCTTGTTTATTTGACATCGAATTTGACGCAAAATTGCGGACTTGAATTTAAGCAAATAATAATAACGATTTTTGTTGTCAGAAAATGGCAGTTACGGCGAGTTGGACGCAAAATTGCGGAATTTTCGATAAAAAAATGGAAAATGACGCAAAATTGCGGACTTTTCGATAAAAAATGGAAAATGACGCAAAATTGCGGACTTTTCGATAAAAATGGAAAACGACGCAAAATTGCGGACTTTTCGATCAAAAAATGGAAAATGACGCAAAATTGCGGACTTTTCGATAAAAAATGGAAAATGACGCAAAATTGCGGACCTTCCTATTAAAAATGGAAAACGACGCAAAATTGCGGTCTTTTCAATAAAAAAAATGGAAAATGACGCAAAATTGCGGACTTTTCGATAAAAAATGGAAAATGACGCAAAATTGCGGACTTTTCGATAAAAAATGGAAAATGACGCAAAATTGCGGACTTTTCGATAAAAAATGGAAAATGACGCAAAATTGCGGACTTTTCGATAAAAAATGGAAAATGACGCAAAATTGCGGACTTTTCGATAAAAAATGGAAAATGACGCAAAATTGCGGACTTTTCGATAAAAAATGGAAAATGACAAAAAAAATTTCGCTATAAATGTCTGCCCAGCTGCGGACATTCATCCAGATGGTCCCTCGTCAAAACTAAAACCCTCATAGTAGGTCATAACAACGAAGCGTCGATGATGGGATCCGGTTAAACCCATCAGTTGCAGTCAAACACCTCATTCATCATCATCAGACCCCATCGACTTCGACGCGGTCTGCGTGTGTGTTGGTTTTTGTGTGACAATCGGCGTTTTTCGTCGAAAATCTCTCGTCGACGCAGCCGCGACAAAAAAAATTCAATCAAACTCATCAGAATCATCACCCGACGATGGTCTATTTGTTTTTCGGCGGTTTTGAGATGAATATCCCCCCAAATATCGTATCTCTCAAACGATTTCTCCTTCCTTATTTGATCGCTAGCAATCAAAAAAAAATTTTTTTTGCTGGCAATCGGACGCTGAATAATAATAATAATAGAAAATAACAATATTTGATGAGCATTATCAGTCGAGAGCTGATAAAAAAAATAATGATCGATACAGCCATCGGTGACGGCTCGTATCATTGCATTTCCCCCCGCCAATTTTTCCCATACATTTATTTTCGATTTTCAATTTTTTGATTACTCAACAAGCTTGCCGTTATGTTCGATCTTCCGTCATCATGAATTCCGAATCAAAATCTCATCCAAAAATTTTTAGAAATTTCTGAAACTTGGTGAGAAGCTTAAAAATAGATCAGATTTACTATAGAAAACGCAAAATTGATTTCGTGCAAATTTGGAAGAAGCTAGGAAGGTTTACTCAACAAGCTTCCCGCTATGTTCGATCTTCCTGCCTGCCCCCCTTGGTTTTCTAATCTGAATCTCATCCAAATATGGGTTAAACGATCCGAAACTTGTTGAGAAACTAGCAAGTAGAATAACGATTCTTTGCTCAAACTTTTATAAGCTTCTCGGCATTGGGGGCGAAGCTGGGAAGATTTGCTCATCAAGCAGGGCCCCAATGTTCGATCTTCCGGCTATATGATTCAGTTCAAATTCTCTTCCAATTATGGAAAAAAATTTAGTGAAAATCAGAATGAAGGTTCTCAATGAGTTCAATTAACCCGTGACAAAATTCTTTTTAATTATCCTTATTTGGGAAGAACTAGGCAAATTACTCATCAAGCTAGCCGTCATGTTCGATCTTCCGGAATATTTTAGATTCATGTGCAAAATCTCTGTGAAAATTGGATAAAAATTGTCGGAATTCCGAATCAAGGTTTTAAATGGGTCCCTTTAATACTATCCAAAATTTCATAACATTATCCATTGTAGGAAATATTCTAGGAAGGTTTACTCATCAAGCTAGCCGTCATGTTCGATCTTCCGGTTCGCATTTTTTCCATTATAAAATGACATTTTCGGAATTTCTCCAAATGATATCATTTCTATTGACCAAACTTTCATTGATTATGCAGTTGAGTTATCAACACAATTTTCTTTGATATGAATAGCAATTTAATCAATTATTTTTTGGTACGCGGAAGATCGATCATTGAGGCCTTCTTGATGAGTAAAGTTCCCTAATGTGAAGAGGCGTATTAAATTTTGAAAAAAAAATTAATAATTTTCTAGCTTCTCATCAATTCAGAGCTCGTTTCACCGATATTTGGATGTCTTTTTGATCCGGAAACCAAGGTGCCGGAAGATCGAACATAGTGACAAGCTTTTGGAGTAAATCTTCTTAGCTTCTTCCTAAGTAGGAATACATTTTTTTGTGGAGCAAAAACGATCCATTTAAAACTTTTCCTCCGAATTTCAATATATTTTATCCATTTTTTATCGAGATGTTGCTCAAGCCGGAAGATCGAACATTGTTGCCAGTTAGTTGAGTAAATATGTAGTTCTAACATACATATATCCAAATACGGTAATCTTAAAAATGTTAGTGTATAGAGTAATACATAAGTTTTCAAGCTTCTCATAGAGTTTCAGCCAATTTCACCAATATTTCAATGAGATTTTGATTCGAAGGGGAGGGGGGGAAGATCGAACATTTCGGCAAGCTTATTGAGTAAAATGACCTATCCTCTTTTATTGTATTAGCGATAATTCGATAATTGAAAGATTCTAGGTCTCATTTTCAGCGTCTCATCAATTTTCCAGCCACTTTTAACCATATTTTGCTGAAATTTAGACGTTCAGTCAATGTAGGCGGAAGATCGAACATAGTAGGAAGCTTGTTGAGTAAACCATATTAGCTTCTTCCAAATTTTCACAAAATCAATTAAGCTTGTTCTATAGTAAATCTGAACTATTTTTAAGCTTCTCACCAAGTTTCAGAATTATTCTAAAAATTTTTGGATGAGATTTTGATCCGGAATTCATGTTGGCGGAAGATCGAACATAGCGGAAAGCTTGTTGAGTAAACCTTCCTAGCTTCTTCCAAATTTTCACAAAATCAATTTAGTTTTTTCTATAGTAAGTCTGAACTATTTTTAAGCTTCTCACCAATTTTCAGCTATTTCGAACAATTTATGGATGAGATTTTGATTTTTAAAATTATTATGAGGTCTGGAAGATCGAACATAGCGGAAAGCTTGTTGAGTAAACCTTCCTAGCTTCTTCCGAATTTTCACAAAATCAATTTAGTTTTTTCTATAGTAAGTCTGAACTATTTTTAAGCTTCTTACCAAGTTTCAGCTATATCGAACAATTTATGGATGAGATTTTGATTTTTAAAATTATCATGAGGTCTGGAAGATCGAACATAGTAGCAAGCTTGTTGAGTAAACGTTCCTAGCTTCTCCGAAAAAAATAGCACTTGAGATTCGTTGTGAACATATAAGTCTGAAAGTTGTCGAGTAATTCGCAGCAGGCTGATTGTTGTTTTTCCCTCGCAGCCCGCCCGCCGCGACGACACCAAATCAATCAGCATTGAGAGAGAGAGAGGGGGGGGGTGGTCGGCTGACGATCGAATCAGACGACGAAGGCGAATCGTCATCTTGATGATCAAAATTGGTGTTGACATTGATCGATGAGCCGGATCGATTCTGAAGACGTTCCCCTCCCCTTCCTCTCCCCTCCCAACCCACACATCGACCATTTTCAAACTTCATTTTGGCGCAACGTCGACGTTTCTTCAGATGACGTCACAACCGTCCACATCGAATCCGCCAGCATATTACGAGCAAACGTATCAGCCAATGGTAAGTCGGCCACCAAAAAAAAAATAAAGCAAATTGAAAATAACTCGTGCCTACAGTATCCACCGTATCCGACGAATATGATTTGCGGAATGCAGTACTTCAACAATCGCTATCCGCAGGTGAATCGTCTTTTTTTTTTCTTGACATTCTTTTTTCCATTGTCAGATGACGATGGATCATTCGATGCACCCGCATCATATCGCGATGCTCGATGGCCAGTTCGGCGGCGGTGTGTTCGGCCAACCGTCGGCACCGCCTACACTCGGCGCCGCCCCGATCCCGCAACCGCAACCACCTCAACCACCGCCGCCGCCGCAGCCGCCGACGCAACAGCAACCGCCGCCGCCACCGCCTCCGACGACGACGACGACGATTAACGCGACGATGACGACGGCGATGGACTCGTGCCAGCAGATTTCGCACGTTCTTCAGTGCTATGAACAGGTTGGCAATTCTCTATATCATCCCATTCGTCGCTTGCAAATTGAATTGATAATGACAATGCGGAAGATCGAACATAGCGGGAAGCTTGTTGAGTAAACCTTCCTAGCTTCTTCCAAATTTACACAAAATCAATTTTGCTTTTTCTATAGTAAATCTGAACTATTTTTAAGCTTCTCTATAAGTTTCGAAAATTTCTAAAAATTTTTGGATGAAATTTTGATTCGGAATTCATGATGGCGGAAGATCGAACATAGCGGGAAGCTTGTTGAGTAAACCTTCCTAGCTTCTTCCAAATTTGCAGAAAATCAAATTTGCTTTTTCTATAGTAAATCTGAACTATTTTTAAGCTTCTCTATAAGTTTCAAAAATTTCTAAAATTTTTTGGATGAAATTTTGATTCGGAATTCATGATGGCGGAAGATCGAACATAGCGGGAAGCTTGTTGAGTAAACCTTCCTAGCTTCTTCCAAATTTACACAAAATCAATTTTGCTTTTTCTATAGTAAATCTGAACTATTTTTAAGCTTCTCTATAAGTTTCAAAAATTTCTAAAATTTTTTGGATGAAATTTTGATTCGGAATTCATGATGGCGGAAGATCGAACATAGCGGGAAGCTTGTTGAGTAAACCTTCCTAGCTTCTTCCAAATTTACACAAAATCAATTTTGCTTTTTCTATAGTAAATCTGAACTATTTTTAAGCTTCTCTATAAGTTTCAAAAATTTCTAAAATTTTTTGGATGAAATTTTGATTCGGAATTCATGATGGCGGAAGATCGAACATAGCGGGAAGCTTGTTGAGTAAACCTTCCTAGCTTCTTCCAAATTTACACAAAATCAATTTTGCTTTTTCTATAGTAAATCTGAACTATTTTTAAGCTTCTCTATAAGTTTCAAAAATTTCTAAAAATTTTTGGATGAGATTTTGATTCGGGGTTCATGTTGGCGGAAGATCGAACATAGCGGGAAGCTTGTTGAGTAAACCTTCCTAGCTTCTTCCAAATTTACACAAAATCAATTTTGCTTTTTCTATAGTAAATCTGAACTATTTTTAAGCTTCTCTATAAGTTTCAAAAATTTCTAAAATTTTTTGGATGAAATTTTGATTCGGAATTCATGATGGCGGAAGATCGAACATAGCGGGAAGCTTGTTGAGTAAACCTTCCTAGCTTCTTCCAAATTTGCAGAAAATCAAATTTGCTTTTTCTATAGTAAATCTGAACTATTTTTAAGCTTCTCACCAAGCTTCAGAAATTTCTAAAATTTTTTGGATGAAATTTTGATTCGGAATTCATGATGGCGGAAGATCGAACATAGCGGGAAGCTTGTTGAGTAAACCTTCCTAGCTTCTTCCAAATTTACACAAAATCAATTTTGCTTTTTCTATAGTAAATCTGAACTATTTTTAAGCTTCTCTATAAGTTTCAAAAATTTCTAAAATTTTTTGGATGAAATTTTGATTCGGGGTTCATGTTGGCGGAAGATCGAACATAGCGGGAAGCTTGTTGAGTAAACCTTCCTAGCTTCTTCCAAATTTGCAGAAAATCAAATTTGCTTTTTCTATAGTAAATCTGAACTATTTTTAAGCTTCTCTATAAGTTTCAAAAATTTCTAAAATTTTTTTGGATGAAATTTTGATTCGGAATTCATGATGGCGGAAGATCGAACATAGCGGGAAGCTTGTTGAGTAAACCTTCCTAGCTTCTTCCAAATTTGCAGAAAATCAAATTTGCTTTTTCTATAGTAAATCTGAACTATTTTTAAGCTTCTCTATAAGTTTCAAAAATTTCTAAAATTTTTTTGGATGAAATTTTGATTCGGAATTCATGATGGCGGAAGATCGAACATAGCGGGAAGCTTGTTGAGTAAACCTTCCTAGCTTCTTCCAAATTTGCACAAAATCAATTTTGCTTTTTCTATAGTAAATCTGAACTATTTTAAGCTTCTCACCAAGCTTCAGAAATTTCTAAAAATTTTTTGATGAGATTTTGATTCGGAATTCATGATGGCGGAAGATCGAACATAGCGGGAAGCTTGTTGAGTAAACCTTTTTCCAAATTTGCACAAAATCAATTTAGCTTTTAAATAGTGAATGTATAGTATTGCTAAGCTTCTCGCCAAGATTCAGCAATTTTTTTTCAATATTCGCCCCAAAATAAAGCGGTCTCCGGCGGAAGATCGAACATAACCGCGCGCATTTTGAGTAAACTCTCCGGCGGAAGATCGAACATCGCGACGCGCTTGTTAAGTACGATTTGTTCGTTGCAGGGCGGCGAGGACAGCGATTTTGTGCGAAAAGCGATCGAGTCGCTCGTGAAGAAGCTGAAAGACAAACGAATCGAACTCGACGCGCTCATCACGGCGATCACGTCGGCCGGCAAACAATCGACGGGATGCGTTACGATTCAGGTGATCGATGCCGTCGTGCCATGATGAATTTCGAATTTCAGCGAAGTCTCGACGGTCGCCTACAAGTCGCCGGACGCAAAGGCGTACCGCATGTGGTCTACGCGAGAATCTGGCGATGGCCGAGCGTCAACAAAAACGAGCTTGTGGTATGATTTTGATCTACCTCGATTCGTTGAGAAGGCACGTTTTTAGAAACTGGTGCATTGCGTCACACCGCCGGACCATCCCGATCAGATATGCATCAATCCGTACCATTATGAGCGCGTCGTTTCCAACGGCATCACCAGCATCGAGATGGGCTTGCATGTGGAGACCGCCAAAAAGGATTATCAATCCGAGTACGGCGAGTCGAGCGGCGGACAAGAGTTTATGGATTGGCCGGCGTCGCCGAATTTCAATGGTCCGTTTCCGTGCAGCTCGCAGACGATTCAGGCGTATGATGAGCGGACCAGTGAGTTGGACGAGATGAGTCGATCCTCATGAATTGCATTGTTGTAGTTGATCTGAGCCAGATTGCGGTGCCGCCCCAACAGCAGCCATTGGAATATTGGTGCTCGATTTTGTATTATGAGCTTGACACGCAGATCGGAGAGACATTCAAGGTAGAATTGGATCGCATCGCATCGCATTTTGATCATTGCAGGTCAGCACACTGGATCACGGACGGGTGATTGTCGACGGCGGAATGGATCCGCATGGCGAGAATGAGGGACGATTCTGCCTTGGCGCGCTCTCCAATGTTCACAGGACCGAGGCCAGCGAGAAAGCAAGGTTCGATTGTGGTGGTGGCGAATCCCGGAAGATGTCCGCACAAAACATTAGTGGAAAATGAAATGTTGTCTTGTTATGATTTGAAATTCCAATCCGGAAGATCGAACATGACGGCTAGCTTGATGAGTAAACCTTCCTAGAATATTCCCTACAATGGATAATGTTATGAAATTTTGGATAGTATTAAAGGGACCCATTTAAAACCTTGATTCGGAATTCCGACAATTTTTATCCAATTTTCACTGAGATTTTGCACATGAATCTAAAATATTCCGGAAGATCGAACATGACGGCTAGCTTGATGAGTAATTTGCCTAGTTCTTCCCAAATAAGGACAATTAAAAAGAATTTTGTCACGGGTTAATTGGACTCATTGAGAACCTTCATTCTGATTTTCACTAAATGTTTTTCCATAATTGGAAGAGAATTTGAACTGAATCATATAGCCGGAAGGTCGAACATTGGGGCCTAGCTTGATGAGCAAATCTTCCCAGCTTCGGCCCTAATACGGAGAAGGGTAATTTGATTAAGGAAAGATGCTAGGTCTCATTTTCAGCTTCTCATCAACTTTCAGCCACTTTTAACCATATTTTGCTGAAATTGAGACGTTCAGTCAACGTAGGCGGAAGATCGAACATAGCGGAAAGCTTGTTGAGTAAACCTTCCTAGCTTCTTCCAAATTTTCACAAAATCAATTTAGCTTTTTCTTTAGTAAATCTGAACTATTTTTAAGCTTCTCACCAATTTTCAGCTGTTTCGAACAATTTATGGATGAGATTTTGATTTTTAAAATTATTATGAGGTCTGGAAGATCGAACATAGTAGCAAGCTTGTTGAGTAAAACATCACCTCATTGGCAATAATTCAATGAAAAACAAATGAATTGAATGAATAGTTGACGGAATTAAACGTGTTGTTGCAGACTTCACATCGGCAACGGCGTCGAATTGTTGGCGCACGCCGACGGCAGCGTCTCGCTGACGTCGAAATGCAAAATCTTCGTGCGCTCCGGCTATTTGGACTACTGCAGCGGCGCCGAGCACGGCAGCAACAAAGCGCACCGATTTGTGCCGAACGAGTCGCCGTTCACCGTGTTCGACATCCGATGGGCGTACGCGCAAATGAGCCGTCGCAATCAGTCGACGAACGAGGCGGTTCGAGCGCAAGCGGCCGCCGTCGCCGGATTCGCGCCGGTAATTCAATAGCTACATTTTTTTTTGTTTTTGACGCCGTCGCGATTTTCAGCTTCCAACAATGCCGATAGTGATGCCCGACAGCGGTGTGGATCGAATGCGGCGCGATTTTTGCACGATCGCCATCTCGTTCGTCAAAGGATGGGGTGAGATGTACCAGCGGAAGACGATCAAGGTAAGCGATCCGACGACTCGTCAATGCTCGATTTTCAGGAGACACCTTGCTGGATCGAAGTGCAACTCCATCGGCCGCTTCAGCTGCTCAATCAGCTGCTCAAGAGCGGCTCGCAAGTCTGACCAAACCCCCCACCCAACCACCTCGGCTTTATACATATATATATATATATATAATATATAATATATTTTTGTTTGCGCTTTATTATTATCATATTCATGTCTAGCTGGTGTGGCCGTTGCGTCGCGGCACCTCATCCATATACTTGGCGAGCCAATCCGAGATGAATCCGATCGGATCGGCGGGCCGTCGAAGCAGCACCTCGGCGAGCGCCTTCGTCAACACCGGCGCCACCGTGCGCGCCAAATAGATGCCGTTCTCCGACGTCGGCAGATCGCCTTTGCCGCGGAACATCCGCTCGATTTTGTGGCGCTCGACGTTGACGCCGTCGTCGTCGTCGTCGTCGATGAGACGCGCGCTGTCGATGAACGACGCGTCGCTTCCCGAGTCGGGCGTCGCCGGCGAATCGATGAGCGGCCCGTCTTCGAGGAACTCCTCGCTGATCGCCTCGAACTCCTCGTCGCGCTCTTTGATCAACTTCAAATCGATGACGGCGTTTCGACGATAGTAGTCCGGCGTGCGGCCCTCCTGAAAATTGAAAACGGCAAGCGTGTTACGGTCGCGATTACGGTAGAGTCTCGTCACACATTGTCGACGGCCATCGCGTCGGCGCCGGCCTTGCCGAGAATCTTCAAATAGTGTCCGCCGTCGCGAGCGGCGGCCGCGTAGTGCATCGCCGTTCGCTTATTCTGAAAATTGTCGACGTCGTCATGAGAGCCCTTCATGAATTGCTCTCACATAATCAGGCGCGTTGAGAACCGTCGGAAAATTGCCGGCGATGAATCGGACGATCTCGGTGTGCTCGTGGACGACGGCCGAATGAAGCGGTGTGCAGCCGTAGCGATCGCGCGCGATCGCCAACTTCTTCGTCTTCATCAAATCTTTGACGGCGTCGAGATTGCCCTCTTTGATCGATTTGTGAATGCTGTCGATTTTCTCCTGGAAAAAATTTGAATCGAAATGTTTGGTGGTCCCCTCTCTCGTCGTACCATGTACTCGGGAAGTTTGTCGAGAAATTGCTGCGTCTCCGAATTGCTCGACGTTCGATTGTTGAGAAGATCGCCGCAGCCGGAGAGCACGAGTTGCTCGAGTTTCGCCACGTGACCATCGCGAAGCCATTGCTGAATCGAGCTCTCGAGATAGCTCGGCGCGACGCGATTGTGAAGCACTTGCTTGAGAGCGGCGCGGGTGTCGAGGCGCATCGCGGCGAGATCGATTTCGCCGTGATGCGTCGAATAGTATTTCGCGGGACGGCCGTTCTGAAACGCCAACTTCGAGTTTGGGGGAGTTTCGAATTTTTGAAAAAAATAAATCGTAATTTTTCTTATAAAATTTGACAAAAAAAATTTTGGAAACAAATTTTTTTTTTGATAAAAATTTTCCAAAAAATGCAAAAACTATTTTTTTTTAAAGCCAAAATTTGACATAAAAAATTCACAAAAAAAATATTTCCACCAAATTTTTTTCAAAATGAAAATTTCTTAAACACACAATTTTTCATTCCAAGAATGTTTGCAAAAATTCGGTTTGTTCAATTTTCTACAGTAATCCGCAATTTTTCGCGGTGAGACCACTTTGCCAAAAAAAACTTTGCGAGTCAAAAAAAAAAAACCCAAATTGTGTTATGTGCAACTCGTGCTGCGGACAACTGACACAATCAAAAATGTTGGGATCGCCGCCGGCTTTGCGCATGATCCGATACATGTATCCGCCGTCCTTGAGCGCGGCCGCGTAGTGCAGCGGCGTTCGCTTCTTCTGATCCATCGCGTTGACCGACTGCGGATAATTGCGTATCAGATATTTGGCGATGTCGGTGCGCTCGAACACGATGGCCTTGTGGAGCGGCGTGAGGCCGCGCGTGTCTCGGCACAACGCCAACTTCTTGCGGTCGGTGAGCAGTTTGACGGCGCGCGCGTTGCCCGCCTCGACCGCCTTGTGGATCGACTGGATTTTCGCCTGGTATTGCGGCAGCACCTCGAGGAACCCGATGCTGTCGGCGTCTTCGACCTCGTGCGTCCGTCCGAGCAGCATGTCGGCGTAGCCGGTCAGCACGAGCTCCTCGAGTTTGCCGATGTTGCCCGTGTGAATCCAATCGTAGATGTCCTCCTCGAGGTCTGCAATATCACTGTGCGCCTTTAAACGATGGTGGTGGCGCACCTTGAAGAAGCGGGCGGCTGAGTTGGCCGGAGATCAGTTGATTCATCACCGCGTTGTCTTTCATCGAGCGCACGTTGAGGCGTTGGCCGTGCGTACGATAGTAGAATGGCGTGTGACCGTGCTGCAACACAACGACGGATTACGGTGGATCGGGGGGCATTACGGTACCTTGTCCTCGATGAACGCGTCGCCGCCACTCTTCTGAAGCACTTTGATCATATGGTCGCCGTTTGGATCGGCGGCGGCATAATGGAGCGGTGTGCGGCCCGCCTGGAATTTGCACCACAATCGACGCCCAATTGCACACTTTTAGTTGTTGTTAAGAATTTGTTGGCAAAAACAATGAGGTGCACAATAGTTGACGCACATTTGCGGACATTTAATTTGCCGAATTTTCAACACATTTTTTTTCCGGATGTCACAAAAAAACGTTGACGCGAAATTGCGGACATTCAGTTCGCTCAAAACTAGCAGCGCATTTGACGCGAAATTGCGGAATTCGACATTTTTTTCGGGATTTTCAAGGGTTTTGAAATACACTAGATTTGACGCGAATTTGCGGACTTTTTGAACATTCAAAAAACACATTTTTTGACGCGAATTTGCGGACTTTTTGAAAATTCAAAAATCACATTATTTGAAGCAAATTTGCGGATTTTTTGAACATTCGAAAAAAGGCATTATTTGACGCAAATATGCGGACTTTTGGAATATTTTTAAATCACTAGATTTGACGCAAATTTGCGTACTTTTTGGAATATTTTGAATTCCCTAGATTTGACGTAAATTTGCGGATTTTTGAAAAATTCAAAAAACCCATTTTTTGACGCAAATTTGCAGATTTTTTGAACATTCGAAAAACGCATTATTTGACGTAAATATGCGGACTTTTGAAATTATTAAAAAAAGCGCAATAATTGGGGAAAATTTGCGGACTTTTGAAATATTTTGAAATCCATAGATTTGACGCAAATTTGCGTACTTATTATTTTTTTTTTATTGATGACGTAATGGTGGGATTGCCAATAAAAAAACACATCGCGTAAATAAATACTCTAATTCTGATATCGAGAGGTGGGGAGGGGAAGGGGGAGGAAGAGGAGGAAAGGATGAATAATTAATATCAGCTTCCTCGATGAGAGGATGAAAATGTAAAAACGCGAAATCGTTTTTATTAGGATATGCGCCTTTAAACTCGCCGAATATGACGCGAGATACGAGGATTAGCGAATTTGCAAATCAATGAGAGATTAGGCAATGCGAGTGTGTCGAAGCAGGCCAGGCTTCATCCCCTAATCCCATTCCAAAATTGGAAAAAGCTTACGTGGTCCGTGGCGTTGACGCAATTCGGATAGCGGCCCAACAAGAAGCGAACGGTGTTCGTTTGGCCGTGAAGGAGTGCCTTGTGGATTGGCGTCATGCCTAAATCGATGATTCGCCAAAATAAAAAAAAAATCAATGATGAATGCGCCTTTAAAAGGGGGGGGGGCACCCAAACACCAACCGTAGCTGTCGCGGGCGGTCGCCAAATTCGGGCGGTCGATGAGCGATTTGACGCGTCGCACGTCGCCTTCTTCGACGGCCTTGTGAATCGCGTCGATTTTTGTCTGAAAATCGACGGATGGCAACGATGGTCAATTTAAAGGCGCATACCAAGTATTGCGTGAGACCCGACATGAACTCGTTGCTCGCCGCGTTCACCGTCTTCTTCTCGCTGCAAAAAAAAAAACAACGATGAATGTGAAATGAATGGTCCCGATCGCGATCACCGTAACAGATGGCCGCGGCCGTCGAGCACAATTTGCTCCAATTTGGTGACGTCGCCGGTGGCGAGCCACGTGTCGACTTGCTCCTCGGACGGAGCATCTGCAAATAGAAAATCGAGTTTTGGCGCGGTTTTTTTGAGCAACGCCCAATGGGTGCACACCATGCCGCTCGATGTAGTATCGATGAAATGTGTCGGTCGCCGACATGAAATAGAATTCGGCGAATCGGTCGCACTCATGCATTCATAACGCCAACAGCTTGAATGACAAATGCGGTAGATCAAAAACCAACAAATCGATTGGATCTTGTTGGTTTTTAGGCTGGTGGGGGGGGGGATCGAAAGCAATAAGGTGGTGATGGTGTTGCGAGGTGAAGCTCAATTATTGATGAATTTCGCGGCCGAGTGGAATATCGAATCATTTCGTCACGCGATGCTTCCTCTTTTTTGGGGTGTGAGAGAGAAGAGAGAGACGCCGGCTTGTGAGATATATGACATCGTGCTGCCGACAACTCGCCGGTTTTGGAAGTTGAAGGCGATCAGTTAAATGCAAAACGTGCTGCGGACAATTGTCGAGGTGCCACCACCTTTATTGAATATTGAGCAGAAGCTCTCAAGAAACTCAAGAGGTCCGAATTCTCAATAAATGCCAAACGTGCTGCGGACAATTGTCGAGGTGCCACTAGCATTATTAATAAAAAATTAAAATAGCTCGGCATTTCCATAAAATGCCAAACGTGCTGCGGACAATTGTCGTGGTGCGCAACGCGGGCCGCGAAAATTGTCGGCAGATGAGAATCGTGAACAAATGCCGCCAACCTGGATCGAAGAACTCGTCGTCGGTGGACATCGAATGAAGCATGACGGACGAGGCGGCCGAGTCGGGACGCACGAATTTGTCGGGCGCCTGTCGATACTCTTCGGCGGTGAGGCCCTCCTGACAAAAAAAAGATGTCGGTTTGCTTCTCTTTTTTTTTTTGCCTCCCATAAATGGCTCGGGGGAAAAGCCGATTTGAGCGCACGCCTAACCGCTATACGAATTTCGATTTTTCGGATTTCCAGCGTCGAAATCGCGAATTTAAAGGCGCATGATAATCTCAAAGGTTGGCTCGTATTTAAAGGCGCATTGAACACAATCATTTTTCGTTTCAAAATTCTCAGAATTGCGCGACGTCATCATCCGCTTAGCGATGACGTCATCAAGCCCCGCCCCCCCCCCGGGTAGATCAAAACAAAACACGCACGCCACCTGATCGGGTAGATTCTTGTTGGCGCCCAATTCGACGAGGGTGTCGTAAATGGCGTTTTGCTGAACGGCGGCGTAATGAAGAGCGGTTCGTCCCAACTAAAAGAAGGTCCGATATGAGTGGGCGCGACATTAAAGGCGCATACCGTATCGAGTAGGTCGACGTGCGACGGATACTGCATAGCGAGATATTCGACGAGCTCGTGCTTCTCGCGAAGCACGGCGATGTGCAGCAGACGCATTCCTGCAAACCCGGATGAGTGTCGGCAGAACGCACCGGCCCTACCGCGTTGGTCTCTCGCCGTCATCACCTCATCGTCGCAAAAATGAATCAGCTTCTTCTTCTCGTTGTTCTCGACGGCTTCGATCGCCGACGTCAGACGATTCTGGAGCACGTTGGATGAGACAGAGAGGTGTCATTTGAGGTGTACCTGAATCTGACGGAACTCTTGCGTGTGCCGCAGAATGCGTTCGTCGCATTTCATCGCCGCCCGATAGATTTGATCGCCTTTGCCTGAAAATTCGATGATCGGCCAGTTTTTGGTTGGTACGCGAAATGTCGCGGGATCGATTCCGTATAGTCGATTTTTGCAAAAATCCAAAATTTTTTTTTTGGATTTTTGATTGAATACAACCAATTTTGGGCAGGTTACATTTTTGAGAAAAACATCATTTTTTATATGCGAAACGTCGCGGGATCGATTCCAGGTGCCAGGGAATTCCACAAATTTCGAATGAACAAAAAAAAATAATATGCGAAACGTCGCGGGATCGATTCCAGGTGCCAGGGAATTTCACAAATTTCAAATGAACAAAAAAAATAATGTGCGAAAGGTCGCGGGATCGATTCCAGGTGCCAGGGAATTTCACAAATTTCAAATGAACGATCGCTGGATCGAATGCGGTCAGTATGAAAAATTTTTGCAAAAAAAAATAGTGTGCGAAAGGTCGCGAGATCGATTCCAGGTGCCAGAGAATTTCAAAAACGATCGCTGAATCGAATGCAGTCAGTATGAAAATTTTTTGCAAAAAAAATAGCGTGCGAAAGGTCGCGGGATCGATTCCAGGTGCCACGGAATTCAATTTTTTTGTTTCTACAAAGAAAATGCGCGCATCAAATTCCACAGTGAATGGTCGCTGGATCGAAGTTTTTGCAAAAAAAGAAAGAAAATGACGCGCGAAACGTCGCGGGATCAACTCTAGGTGCCACTTTTTGAGCATCAATCATATTTTTGCAGAAAAAAATTTCCACTACGCAAACGGTGACGGGATCAATCCCCGAAAAAAAAATTCCAGACTACAGTAAGCCGCGGAAAATTCATGCGATTATCGCATAATGCGCCAAATTTCAATGAATATTAGTCATCGGATGGAAGAGAGAGAGAAAAAAAACCGGCGAACCTTCGATTTGAAGTTGCTCGAGAATCGTGTAGTCCTTCTTGCTCGCGTCGATCTCGCTCATTCGCTGAACGACCATCGGCTCGACGCCGTCCGGCGATTCCGGACTTCGCATCGTTTCGTCGCACGCTGCCACGACGACGCCGAAACGCTCCTTGTGAAGAAGGGCGGTAGGCGACGGCTGAAAATAATCGCAAATAATCAAATCAATGAGAGCAACGAATTATTATTATTATTATTATTCTAATCTAAAGCTTTTCATCATCGAAAATATATATTATATATATATATATATATATATTATGCGTATTATGGGCATATGTGTGATGGCTAATGTATGCGCACGACCGGAAATTAGACAGCGAGAGGCGAGGTGAGGGGCGTTCAGCTGGAAGTCTCAATCGGTCTCTCGTCGTCTTTAAACTCGAATCCCGGATTCCTCGAGCCGCTTTTCAAATGCGCTCACGATTTTTGCCGATTCGATGCAAAAATCGAAAAACCATAGGTTTTGGGGGGTGCCGGGACTCGAACCCGCGACCATTCGCGCCCTAGCCAAAAAGCGCTTTGGCAAATTTTTTCTCGACTTCTTCGAAAATTGAAAATTGGATGTTTTAAAACATTGCGGCAAAAATGAAAATCTCGAGTTTTTGGGGTGCCGGGACTCGAACCCGCGACCATTCGCGCCCTAGCCAAAAAACGCATTGGCAAATTTTTTTCTCGACTTCTTCGAAAATTGAAAATTGGATGTTTTAAAACATTGCGGCAAAAATGAAAATCTCGAGTTTTTGGGGTGCCGGGATTCGAACCCGCGACTGTTCGCAATATATTTGAATTTCGCAGATAGTCCGCAAAATGTCGTCATTCGTTGTGTTTCTTTTTTGGGTCGAGAAAAAATAATTTTTGAATCATTTTAACCACTTTTTGAAAAGTCCGCAATATGTCGTCATTTGTTGTGTTTCATTTTGGGTTGAGAAAAAATAATTTTTGAATCATTTTTATCACTTTTTGAAAAGTCCGCAATATGTCGTCATTTGTTGTGTTTCATTTTGGGTTGAGAAAAAATAATTTTTGAATCATTTTAATCACTTTTTGAAAAGTCCGCAATATGTCGTCATTTGTTGTGTTTGACTTTAAAATGTTAGCCAAAAAAAGTTTGGCAATTTTTTTCGACTTTCTGAACACTCTGCGTTTTTAAAACATCGCGGCAAAAATGAAAATCTCGAGTTTTTGGGGTGCCGGGACTCGAACCCACGACCATTCGCGTGCAGCTTAAATCACGCAATTAGGTCACTTAGCGCCCTTGTCAGACTACGGTAGCACAAAATTGAGGTGTGTCTGACCCGTCGCTCTCTTCGCGGAACCGCAAGACTATTCTGGGGAGTTTGGATGACGTCGGGCTTGGCGACGTCACCGTAATCCGACGGCAGCCGGCCAAACTGAAAAAAATGGCAAAAAACAATGGAAATGAGATGAGAATGATGGTACAATGTCGCGAATTGCGGCCGATTCGGGACACACGTATTGCAAATAGTCGATCATCTCTTTGCTGGATTTCCTGCAAAAATTTCCATATCGGGAGATTCGGTGGGGCGGAGGTGAAATTGCGACTTGTAGGCATGATGAAGCGGCGTTCGGCCGTCCTTGTCGAGCACAAGACCCATTCGCTTCTCGCATATCAGCTGTTTGATGCTGCGAATGTCTTCGGCGTACACCGAGTCCCAAATGCCGAACACTTGAGCCTACAAAACAATTTTTTACGGTCAGGGTTCGCACTTGCCATTTTCAAATTGTGTCAAAAAATTAGGAAAAAATCAATTTTAAGGCTCAGGGGTCGAACTCGCTAGTTTCAGATAGTTTAAAAAATTGAGAAAAATTCAATTGTTATGGTTAGGGTTCGAACCCGCCATTTTCAGATAGTATCAAAAATTGTCAAAAAAAAATTTTGATGGTCGAGGCTCGAACCTGCAATTTTCAGATAGTATCAAAAAGTTAGGAAAAATTCAATTTTGAGGGTCCGGGTTCGAACCCGTCAGTTTCAGCTAGCATCAAAAAATTTGCAAAAATTCAAATATGATAATCGAGGCTCGAACCCGCGACATACCTGCAAAAATATGAGCCGCTTCTGAATCTCAGCGAACGCCGGAATAATCGGAACATGCGTGACGTCCAATGCGCCCATGATGACGCGATGGGCGAGCTCCTCCTCGGACACCGATCGGAACAAATCCTCCCATTCGGTCTCCTCCGGAACCGGATCTTCAACGCGTTTGCTCTCATTGTGGTCCGTAAACTGCCAACTTACATATATTGGCGTATCTGACCTTGTCAAGATCAATCAGACCCGGATTCTTCTTGATATCCTGCGGGGTGAAGCCTTCGGAGTCTGTAAAAAAGAAATGCTAGGGACCATTGAAGGGCCACAATCGGCGTGCCTGGCAGCATATCGTCGGCGCCCTTGTTGAGCAGCAGAAAGTAGAGCGTCGGCTCTTGGCGGACGCCGAAAAGCGCGGCCGCGTAGTGCAGTGCGGTTCGTCCGTCCTGAACTATGTCGAAATTGTGCTGCGGACAATGATGGCGTGGTTGAAACCCACAGTGTCGCGCGCGTTGATCGTGTTCAGCGAGTAGTCGAGAATCGCTTCGACGATGCTCACATGGTTGTTGATGACGGCCAATGTGAGCGCGACGGCGCCCGTCGTCGGATGCGCGATTTTCAGCGCCTGCGGCGACATCTTTCGCGACACCTCGATGAGATTGCCGCGCACGACGGCCGTGAGGAATTCGCGCGCGCGAACCGCAATACTCTCGCGACGCTTCGGCTTCTACAATTGGTGTTGATGTGGAAATGCGGCTGCGGACAACTCGCGGGTTTCACCTTGTCCGCAGCACGCATTTTATGAAGCGCGCTTTTCAAACATAAAACGAAAAGTCGACTATGAAGAATTTTTCTATTCTAATGCTGCTGCGGACAACTCGCGGGTTTCGCCTTGTCCGCAGCACGCGTTTTATGAAGCGCTTTTGTGTCCGACATAAAAGGAAAAGTCGACTATGAAGAACTTTTCTATTCTAATGCTGCTGCGGACAACTCGCGGGTTTCGCCTTGTCCGCAGCACGCGTTTTAGGAAGCGCTTTTGTGTCCGACATAAAAGGAAAAGTCGACTATGAAGAATTTTTCTATTCTAATGCTGCTGCGGACAACTCGCGGGTTTCGCCTTGTCCGCAGCACGCGTTTTATGAAGCGCTTTTGTGTCCGACATAAAAGGAAAAGTCGACTATAAAGAACTTTTCTATTCTAATGCTGCTGCGGACAACTCGCGGGTTTCGCCTTGTCCGCAGCACGCATTTTATAAAGCGCGCTTGTTAGACATAAAACGAAAAGTCAACTATAAAGGATTTTTCTATTCTAATCCTGCTGCGGACAACTCGCGGGTTTCGCCTTGTCCGCAGCACGCGTTTTATGAAGCGCTTTTGTGTCCGACATAAAACGAAAAGTCGACTATGAAGAATTTTTCTATTCTAATCCTGCTGCGGACAACTCGCGGGTTTCGCCTTGAGTGCTTGCTAAATCGAAGATCGAAAATACCTTAATCGGCGGTTTTTTCGAGCCGGGAATATTTGGTGGTGTCGTTGAGCCGGAATTCGCCATCCTAGCTGGAAAAAAATGTTGAATTATTTGATTTCTTATTCCCTCCTCTCAATAGCATTTATTTGGTAAATATATGAAAATTGGGTGGTGTGTGTGTGAATAGGCGACTAATTGGAATGGGGGGACGTCATCACAATCGGACGAATTGTCGGCAGCACGCGAGATTGATGAATCATTGCATGCGGGGTCGGAGATGATGATAAGAAGGCGAGAGCCGAGCCGAGCCGGCGGCGGTCGCCAATGGCAACCCGTCGGCATCGCTCGGCTCTCATCCCAATAATCTTCTTTTTGTTGTTGGTGTGGTTTCGCGGATTTGCCTCTTCAAACTCTTAATCAGCTTCCATTTAGGGATGTCAAAGAGAAAAAGTGCATTTTTAGGATTTTCGCCAACAAAAAAAACTATTTGAATTGTTGGAAAATTTGCTTTGGGTCTCGAAGCGAAAGCAATGGGTCTTGAGAAAGCTAGCCGCCAGGTGTGAAGCTCAAATCGAGTGTTTCCCTTGATTGCATTCAAATATCGATTGTGGCGAAACCTGGTGAATGTCCGCAGATGTTTAAATCCAAATTTCTCTTGTTTGACTCTAGAGAATGGGAAACTTTTTTTTCAGGAGATATCTGATTCACGTCGTCGGCAAACGCGCTCCATCGCACACATTATTATTAGTTTCATGATGCACTCATAAAATTCAACAAAAAATAACATGTTAATGAAAACCCGACAAGAAAAAATTAAGAGTTCACGTGAAAACATGAAAATAAGCGTTCACACGTGGCGAGACCTTTTTCAAGGCGCATGCGCGTAAATCTACACAGTCTCCGGACACGCCGACTATAGATTTATTTAAAAACGCGCATTTTTTTTAAATTTGAATTTCTTCTTTAATTTTCTTATAAATCGACCGAAAATCAAATTTTGATGATGTCGCCGCGAGACCCAAAAGCATTCCAAACAAAAAATTATTGTCCTCTTTTATGTTGTTTCGCGAATATTCGATGAATCAGAAAGTAAATACCATACAAAAAAACATAAACACACATTTTTATGCTTTTCGATTTCGCTGGAAAATTTAAAAAAAAAATGATACACAAAACGTGAACCTTCTCGCCATTTTTCCATCATTTTCGAGACTCCCAAATATGGAAAGCATGGACATTCGGTAAATGTTTTGATTGCTCTCGAAAACCCCATTGGCGGTATGCCAATTCGGCGGCCAGTGAACGAAAGGAGTCGCACGCGCGCGCGCGCGTCTCACACACTCCACGATTCGCGTGCTCTCTCACCTGTGCGATGTCTGCGCCCTCCGCGCGCGCCGCACTCACTCGCCGCGATGGGTTTGCGGCACTTTCACGTCTGTATCGAACACTCTTTTTTTTTCTTCTGGCCAATTCGAAATGAATAGAATCGAACTTGTCATAATAATAATGCTTGGCGACGCCTAGTGGCGCTATCAAAATCGTCTCTCGTTTTTATTCTTATCACTCGCCATTTTTTTTCTACACCGACATTTGTCTTTCCGCCCCGTTTCTTTTTCTCGATTTCTGACCAGCTGATTCGATGGAAATCATTTTAATTGAATCAAATCGCCGAAATGAAAGAAAAAAAAAATATAAATAAATATTGGGTTTGAATTTGATTTCAAAAATTGTGTGCAATTGTTCGTCGTCGTGTGTTCACCGCGATTCGAAATTCGTTTTCAATGTGCGATTTTTTTTCTCGTCGAATTTTTTTCTTCGATTTTTTGCAGAATTGTGAATTCTCAAAGTGTTCAAACGAGTTTCACGACAAACGCGCTCACAATTACGACGACGGAGACGATGTCTGTGACGGAGCCTGCAGATTCTGGTGGCGGAACGCAAATTGTTCAGAATCTGCAGGTATGCCAAAAAAAAGAACAGCGAGATTTCGTCGAATACTCACGCGATTATTTTTTTTTTTGTGTCAACCAATCTTTTTTTGACACGATATTTATTGGTTTCAATTTGTATTTCAGGTTGCTGGAATGACAAACTTGCAAGATATCGGCTCATGGGCCCAATTAATGGAAGAAGAGGAGGTTTTTTTCGATGATTTAGAATCAATGAACGAAATCGTTGCAGGACGTCACTTTCGGAGGCGATGACGATGGCACCGATGAGGTCGACGGACCAGCGGCGAGCATCAGTCCCGAACGCCGACGCAAAATTCCCGACGGACCGCCGTACAAGGTGCAGGTGGCGAATGTGTCGACGAAACACCTTGGAGAGGAGCTTTTGTATTATTTTGGCGGAGAGGAATTGGTGAGAAGCAAAAAAAAACAAAATCGAAATAAATTCTTCTAGGTGAAAGAGTTCTCGTTCCTCTCAGCCGATGGCAAAGCGATTTTCGAGTTTGCCAGCCGCGATGGATTGATTTCAGCGTTGGAGAAGAACGAAAAAGACTTTCAGGGCAACAAATTGAAGGTTTTTTTGTTTTTTTGAAAAGAACCAAAAATTGAACTGCTTTTTTTGTTAAAGGTTTATGTGATGCAGAATCGCGAGAGTGTCAATCGGATGCCGGCGAGATTGTCGAACGACTATCGCCGTTCGTCGGATGGCTATGAGAATCGCCGAAATGACAGCTATAATCGATCGAATCGATATAATAGTCAGTCGAGTTTGAATGGCGATTATCGGAATGATCGAAGGTGCACCTTTTTTTGTCTTCTTGAATTTTGTTTTTAGCTAAAATTTCTGAAAAAAGTGCGTTTTTTTTTTCAAAAATTGATGTAAAAATACGCGGTTTTCAATGAAAATTGTGAAAAATTCGATTTTCTTCAAAAAATTTCAACTTTTGTGTTTTTTTCCGTTTGGAAATCATGTGGTGAGCCAAAATTGCTCAGTGTTTCGCCATTTTTTTTATCAATTGATTCGTTGCGTGATAACGAACGCGAAAAATCACATGGTTTGTGGATTATATTGCACACATTTTAAAGGCGCACACCCATTTATGTTGAAGCCAAAAGAAAATTGAATATTTAAAGGCGCATAGGCTAGTGTTGAGAAGGAAATCAAAACGAAATTTGGGTTTTGCCAAATTTTCGAAGCAAAAATTGATGGTTTGAAACGTTATTTGAATATTTAAAGGCTCATTGGCCAGTTTTGAAAAGAAATGAATGAGAAGTGAGTGTTGAAAAGCGACTATTCAATTTTTGAGAAGAAAATTAAACTAAAATTTGGTATTTCAAGGCGTTTATTGAATTTTTGAATAAAAAAAATGGTACTTGAGAAAATGTAACAAAAAAAATGAAATAAAATTGAATATTTAAAGGCGCATAGGGGGTTAAAAGATGCTTTGAAGGCGAATAGGCAAAAATTGAGCAAAGCTTAACATTTAAAGGCGCGGCAAGCTAAAATTGAAATTCGCTTCAAGACCCGATTTGCAGCTTCCGCGGCGGCGATCGCTACAATCATTATGGCACAATGCCGGCTGGCGGATTTCATCACGACAAACGCGGCGGGTTTCCGGATCGATTCCACGACGGCAATCGGAATAGCATGCGCGGCGGACGAGGTCGCGGCGGAAGCGGCGGCGGACCCTACAACAACTATAGCAACACGTACAATCGGCAAAACAGCGGACCATCGGCGTACAATCGCTATGAGCACCAGGGTGGTGGTCCGTTGCAGCGAAGCGGCAGCTATCAGTACAATCGCGACTATAATACTAAGCATGGCGGTTCGATCAGGTTTGTGGGGGGGTTTGCTCAGCAACAAACATAATGGTCCCTGGAATGAGTTTGGGTTTTCAGCGCGCGATCGCGAACGGAATCGCACTCGACGAATGTTGAGACGTTCTCGCGGACGAGCTCGAGAATGTCGATCAACGACGAGCCAAAGGTTTGATGGGAATGACGGTGGCCGACGGAAACATTGGTGTTTCTAGGTACAGCGAAAAACGTCGGTGAACCCGTTTGGCGACGCGAAGCCGGTCGACACCCAATCGAAACTTTTGGAGCTTGAACGACGGCAGAAGGAGAAGATGGAGCAGGAGGCTATTGAGAAGCAGAAGAAGGAGGCCGAGCTTCAGCAGCAGCAGCAGCAGCAGCAGAAGGAGGCTGAGCAACAGCAGAAGGTTGACGGTGAGCAGCAGAAGCAGGTTGCGGAGAACGCGAGCCATAAAGGCCATCATAATCATCATCATCACCAACACCATCAACACCATCAAAAGGGTGGCAAACAGTATCCGCCATATGGTGCGAAGAGCTTTGAGCAGAATGAGCCGCATCGAGCGTACCATCAGCAGCGGCACAACTCGTTCGAGCAAGGCGCGCCGCCGGGAAGCGTAATGTGAGTGTGTGCGCCTTTAAACCAGCGACACATTTTTGTTTTTGATTCCAGAATCAAGAAGCGCGAGACGAGCGAGGCGGATAAGCTGCGCGAGGAGGAGTGCTCGACGCCGCCGGTCGATCCCGTTCAATATCCGACGTCAAGTGAGGCGACGCCGCCGCCGCCGCCGCCCCAACAACAGCAGCAGCATGCAGGCAAGGTAGGAATCCGTTGGAAGACGGTTGGGGGACAACAGCAACAACAACGAAAAAAAAAACAAAATTGAATTTCCGGTCGAGAAGTGTGCGCACGTGAAGCAGCCGTCGGAATTGCCGCCGAAATACCAGAAGACGCGCGCGACACAGAAGACGTATGTGCCGAAAAGCGGGCACGTGTTGACGAAGAGCGCCACCGTCGGCCACATCGACAAACGCGACGAATCGGCGGCGAGCGGCGAGCGACGCGAAAGTTTTGGGTATGTCGTCGCGTTTGGCGATTTTGAGCATGGTTGGACCTCTAAAAAATCATGGAATGGTACCTTTCATGTGAAGGATTCGAAAAAGAAGTGAAAATTTTTGAATTTCGCGCGCTATCATTGAATTTCAAAAAGGAAAAGTGGGTAGGTGGAAGTCGCCCAAACTCGCTTCTGAAGTGCACTTCCATTCGAGACCCATCAATTTTTTTCAATTCAAACGCTACAGTAGTCGCACGCGAAACAGAAACGATGAAGAAAAGAGCGTTTGAGTTTTGTTTTGCAGAAAATCTCGCGGCGGTGCCGCTTATCGACAGAATGACGCACGACGGCCGAGTTTTTCGGGAAGCGAAAGCAACTATTCGATGAATAAGGTTGAGAATTTGATTTTTTTTTGTTGTTGACGATTTTTCTATTGAGAAATTACCAATTTTTTTGTTATAGAATAATAATAATAATAGCTATCGCGGCGGACCATCGAAACGCGGTGAGATGCGCGGTGGATCGCGTGGCGGCCGCGGACGCGGCGGAGGAGCCGCCGCCGCCGGCGCCGCTCGCAAGTCGGACAGTCGGACGAACGAGTCGCACGTTGAGGCGGATGTCGGCGAGCCGGAAAAGGTGATTGTCGAGGAGGTGGTGATGACGAAGGAGACTGTCGTCGTTGTTGTTAAAGGAGACGAGAAGGCGTCGGAAAAGGTTGGCCCTCTCAACCACTAGAAGGTTTTTGATGTTCTTTTTTTTGTAGAATGAGCCGGCCGAGCCTTGTGTTGGTGTTGTTGAGCAGCCGGTAGGCGGCGAGTCGACGAAAACGGAACCGACGCCGCCGATGCCGTCGACGCCGAAGAAGAGGGATCGAAAGAAGGAGAAGAAGGTTGGTGTTTGATTGCTCAGAGAGAAGTTGGGAACGATGACGAAAAAAGACATTTTTTCTTTTTTGAAAATCAAATAATTTAAAAATTTTTGTTTCGATTTTTTTTCCTCTCGATGCCCCCCTCCCCCCGCTTTTAATGAGCGTGGACCTACATTGATGTGGGTACGAGTTGTTTCACTGTGGGGTCCCATGACTGCACCATTGTTGAATTGAGTGGCACCGAAAAAAAATTTTGAAATTTGTAAGATTCACACGAGAGATTGGCGCCATTTTTTCACCAACGCAGATTCTGAAAATTGGCGTCAAATTCGTTGTTTGCACATTTCGAATGTTTCGCTCAAGATGGCCACTCATTTTTCCGCATTTCTCAAGCAAATCAAATAAAATATTTTGAGAATCAAATATTCAAAAATAAACTCAAAAATATTTTGAGAAATTCTAAAGTTTATTGATACTTTCTAAAACTTATTGAGAATCGCTAAACTAAAAAATTTTTTTTTTTTAAATCTTATAATCGTATTTTCTAAAATTTATTGAGCAAATTCTAAATTATTTTAATAATTTCTAAAGTTGATTGAGAAAAATTTAAAATATTATAGAGACACGTTAGTTTCTCAAATAATCTCAAAATATTTTATTTGATTTGCCTGAGTTTTGAACCAACTCTGATCCCATTTCCCCCCGGGGAATACTGTGACGACAAATTGCACAAAAGTGCATTTTGACCCTGAGAGAGGGTGGGGTCTTATGGACCAATTCATGCAATGATAAAATTTTTTCATTTGAATTCCCTATGCACGCACGTCGAAATTTACAAAAAATTGACGCGATATATCGTAATTCTCCGCTATTGATTTTCAAAGGCGCATGCGAAAAGTTGCGCGGGTCACGTCGCGAAGTCGGTACTGTATTTTTTAATGCCCTGAATGACGAAAAATAGACTTATATTGTCGAATTTGGAGTTATTATATCAATAATTGGATTTTTACCTCGTTCTTTCAATCCGTTACACATTTCCTCTTCAATGTTTTCAAAGAATACAGAAAAATAGCACAGAGAATGAAAAATAAAAAATACAGTAGCGACTTCGCGACGTGACCCGCGCAACTTTTCGCATGCACCTTTAAAAATCAATAGTGGGGAATTGCGATATATCGCGTCAATTTTTTTTTTTGTAATTTTCGATGTATAGGGAATTCAAATGAGAAAAATTGATTTTTTTTTAAATTTTTTTTCATTACATGAATTTTTCCATAAGACCCCCCCCCCCTCTCTCAGGGTCAAAATGCATTTTTGTGCAATTTGTCGTCACAGTATTCCCCGGGGGGAAATGGGATCAGAGTTGGGCAAAATGCGGAAAAATGAGTGGCCATCTTGAGCGAAACATTTGAAATGTGCAAATTGGCGCCAAAAACCGAATTTGACGCCAATTTTCAGAATCCGCGTTGGTGAAAAAATGGCGCCAATCTCTCGTGTGAATCTTAGAAATTTCAAAATTTTCTTTGGTGCCACTCAATTCTAATAGGCGTTGTGGGACCCTCATCCGCAAAAATCTGCAAGTGTGATTATTTGCAGAAGGAGGCGAAAACGAGCCATATGAGCACGAACAAGTTTGCCGCGTTGCTCAACTGCCCGCAATGATTCATCGATGTCCCGCCATTTATTTGTACAGTTTTCGGTGTATTTATTATCATTATGATCACTATTGTTATTATTTTTTTTTTAATTAATTAATTGAATTTGATTTTCGTCAGAAAATTGCAAATTTGTGCCTTTCTTCCTTGATTTTTGTGGATTATTAACCATTTTCATTTTTTTCTCTCTCCCTCTCTCTCTCTCTTCTCCCCCCCCCTCCTCGCCTCCGTAGATCATACGAATCAGTTTCCAACAATTTGGTTTTTCTTTTTTCTGTGTGTTCTCGAAAAAGAGCAATTTTTTGTTTGGATCGGATTATAAAGGAATTGAAATGGTCTCGAAGAGAAATGCTATCAGAATCGGGCGTGCGCCTTTAATTACTGTGTCCAAACGAAGCGAGCAAAAGCGAATTGTCGAAATTCCTCGGACTCCTCAAAAGATTTGGCGGCCGAAAAAAACCTCGGCCGCGGCCGCGGCCACCATTATTATGATTTCTGCTGCAAGAATCGTGAGGTTTTGCCACAAGCGCCTTTAACATGCAACGATTTTCGAGAATTTAATTTTTGATTTCCATTTTTTCTCGATTAAGATTTACAATGTGCGGAGAAAGATTCGAGACCCATCGCAAAAATTGATAGTTGAAGGCGCATTAAAGGCGCATGCGATGGGTCTCGATGCGAATCTTCGATTCGTTCTATTCTGAATTGCCCCCACATTCGGGTAAAAAGATAAAATAAAAATTAATGATTCCTGAAGCGATTTACTAGAACCGGCGATTTTGATTAGACGGTCTTTAAGTGAGAAAATCTGGTTTGTCGGTTTTTTTTTCTTTGAGAATCGCCTCGCATATTTCTGTTTTGAACACGTGTGTTTTGATTTGAAATCTCTCATAATTGAGTGTCGCGTGCAGACATCGCAATGAATTCCCAAATGGGAATCATGATCCCAACAATTATGAGTGGTTGGTTGGAAGATTTTACAGATATTTATAAAAATGCTTGAGTGAAGAATGTATCGAAAATTGAGGCTTTAAAAGGCAATTTGTGTCAAATTTATGGTTTTTACAAAAATTTTACACAAAATTTGAAAAATTATCGAGAAAAACGATTTCCGTTAAGCGATGATTTATGTGCGATTCGTGCTGCGGACATTTCACGGGCGAGAAAAAGAATAGAAATGCTGGCAAATTTAGGAAATTTCATAAAATACCAGAAAAGAAAAGCCTTGAGTGAGGAATGCAAATGATAAAATTCATCTGCGGACAATTTTGCGGGTTTTGCAAAATTGCGAAAATTGTTCAATTTTGCTCCAAATTTGACCAACAAAAAACAAAATTGTTAGAAATTTTCTAAGCTTTAATATTCTAGAAGAATTTTTGAGATGCAATTAACACTTGTCGAGATATTTTCGGAAAACTGAACTCTACATATTAAAAAAATAAATAAATAAAATCATAACATTTATTTGACATTATTAATGAATTTCGAAAGCCTTGGTCTGAAAATGTTCAAACATTGTGTGAATTTCGCATTTCGAAAGCAATTCGATCGACATTCGGCGCGAAAATTGGGATACTCGTAGGAGAACATCTCATGGCAATTCACGCACAATCCATCGAGGACCTCAAGTAGAACCGGCCGGCGGAATGCCTAAAAATAGGCAAAAATGGATATTTCCAAAAAAAAATCAATCAAATTTTTCTCTTACCCTGCATTTTCGAATCGTTTGCCTAGCGTCGGAAACAATCAAAACCGCGATTAATAGATATAAAACGATAGCTGAAATCGCACGATTTTCAGAAATTCTATTTATAAAAACCAACCTTTCATTGAAATGGACAAATTAGGAAACATTTTGTTACGTTTTGCCGATTCCTTGTGTTATTCGATCTTCAACTTCCTGCAGCGTCACTTCCTCGACGAGCGGTACATCGCGCACTTATACGCCGCGAGAGCAGCACGACACCGCAGCTTCCGTAGCGCACACTGATTATGCGCGACGCAAGCATAATGGAAGCATTGTGGGAAATCTGTGGAACGGAAGCATAATGCTTCCATATAGGAAGCATAATGTAATTCTTAGTGGCTGTGGAAGAATTATGGGACGAATATGGATGGAATGAAAACGGGATGAATATGCTTCCGGTGTTTGCGAGCCGTGGAACGAATATGGATGAAATATGGATAAAATAATCATATATCATTACACATTATACAATTGGCGTCTGGACGGCAGACCAAGACAATTTCTAGAAAAATCAATACAAAAAACTTATGCTATCATATAAACAATGAAAATTTGAAAATTACATGATACACAACGGACGAAATTTAGCTTCTACCATTTAATGACTTATGCTACTCAGATTTATGTTAATTCAGTCAATTGTTCCTTACTTTGTTTAAAGATTGCCAACTACAATTTAGTCGTATTAATATATTTTTGCCGGTTTTTCCGAAATTGGCATCGCAAACTACTCACAATTTGCTCCAAACTGGTAGCAGACGCGCGTAGAAGAGGCGTGCCGCAGCATTGCAAAACCGTGCGCCGCTTTGCACAATGCGGCCACGCCTCACATTTTCGAAATTCGTTTTCAAAATTTTTGTCCTTTTGCTTTTTCTCAATGAATTTTCAAGATTTTTTGTGTTTTTTTTTGTCAAAAATTAATGAATTTTTTTCAAAATTAAAGGAAAAATGTTTTTAAAAAATAAAGGAAAAATTTTCATGTTTATCATTTTCATGTTTATCATCATTCGAAAATTTTAAAATCGATACGATGTTTTCAAATCGTTTCCGACACTTTTAAAATCGAATTTAAATATTTTCTCAATCGAATTGTGTTTAATTTCTCATCGAATCCGTTTTATTTTTATTTACTTTAACATATTTTTTATTATCGCTCGCTTTTTTCTTTTAATAAAACATAATGTTTTGAAATTTTTTACAGATGAAGACAAGATCGAGAGTGTTGTCAGATATAACTGAAACTGCTCTAGAAGTCAATAACAAAGAACCAGAAGTCCCTAACATGGAACCAAATTCGCTCGACACTTCAGATCCAGATAGTCCAATTTACTCGCCAACTCAGCAAAAAAATTTTTCTCCACAGTCCTCACAAACAACAAAATCAACGCCAATTCCTAAACCTTCGTACGCGCAATTTGTAAGTTGTTATCATCAAAAATTGGCCTGTTCGACTTCAGAAATGGTTTCAATTAGAAAAATATGCGCAATGAAGTCTTTATAAAGTACTTCCTAAGTTTAAAGCTTGTTGATTATTTGGTTCCAATCAGGGCTGTGCGGCAATGGAATTGCCGATTGCCGAAATTGCCGGTTTTTCAAATTGCCGAAGAAAATTTCGATCGGTAATTTGCCATTAGCCGAATCGCCGAAATTTCCGATTGCCGTACAGCCTTCGTACCAATATCATTCAGTGGCATTTATCTTTTTAAGTGGGGCTCTAGTACAGAAGTCGCCAGACGCCGACTATATAAAGATCCTATACTTTATTGCAAATATCTATATTACAGATGTTCTTATGCATGGCTTTGGGCAACAACCGACAAATGACTTCAAAGCGAAAGCATTACGCATGGTTCGAGAAGTCATGGATAATCTTCTGTAAGATTTTGAACTATGACTATTAATTTATTTATTTGATTAAGCGATAGAATGCGCCAACGACTTTAAAGGAAATTTGGTGTAGCGCCGGAAGCGCTCGCGGCGCAATTATGGAAGCTGCTTGATTCTACCAGCAACCCTCAGATGTGAGTATTCATATGTCTTTGAAATTTTAACCAAAATGCCTTTTTGCTTCAAATTTTGGAGTTGTTCTTTCTTCCGCCAATTCACTTTTTATTTTGTGCACTAAAGGGTTTCCAAAAATGCAATAAAAATAAATTATTTTTATTTTTAAGAAAATTATTGATGTAAAAAAACTGATTGTATTTTCTCGAAAAATTTAGTTTACGTAACAATGGTTTACAAGTTTTTCAAATTAATAGGCCCATTATAATCGAAGTGTAGCGACTAGGAAAAGTGGAGAAAAGGTAAAAATTCGATAACGGTTTCTTTCTACAAGCGTATATTTGCGAAAAAAGGATAGGTTAAATGTGCATTAGGACTTTTGCCTAATTTCTTAGCAATAGTTGTTGTTTTTAAAAATATCATAACACGGCTTTTTAACCAAGTGTGAACGATATGAATTCTACTTATTACAGCGTCCCGCTCGATGTCAGTGCTGACAATGATTCGAATAGTTCGGCAGTTGCCAGTAACTAATGGTTTGATTATATCTTAATTGAAATTCATTTCATTGTTGTTTTTTTTATTTTAAATTAAATAAATGTGTTAATATGAAATAAATTTTGAATACAGCAATCAAATTGTTTTCTTATTTGCCCATATGGAAGGCATACGGCTCATTCCATATACGAAACACGCAGTTCCGCAAAAAAATGCTTCCATTATGCTTCCATATAACTTGCATATAAGATTCCTATGATATCCACAGCCGTTCCACTATGCTTCCATTGTGCCTATGCCGCCGTTTATCTGTGCAGTCTCATAATCTGAAGGTCGTGAGTTCGAGCCTCACCGGGAGCAATGCAAACATTTTTGCCAGCCCAATTACTGGTTGAGCGTGCCAAACCACAAGGAAGATAAGGGAACTGGAATTGTGACCAAGTTAATGGCAGTGGACAACCATTAGTTTGTTTGGTTTTCGCGCTTTGTTAATTTGTCTCATCTTCTGCTTTCTTTCTTATGGTGGTTGTCGACTTTGCCAACTTTTCCGCATATGAAATATTCAATTCATTCGGTTTTCGTAACTCGATTTTTTTGAATCTTAATCTGATAAATGAAAGAAATTTCAATATAGGGAATTCTAAGACGAAAAAATACCTAGAATTCCATTTTTGACCATCGAAATTTTGTGAGGATTTTTTGAAATTGAGTTGCGTCTGCTTCAATGAGTATATCCTTTTATGGAAGCATTTTTCATTAAGGGTTTTTTTAAGAAAAATTAAAGTCCAAACCATTGGCTACAATTTCTTTTTTGGACCATCTAATTTGATTAAGAACTCGCAGAGTTACGATTTTTTGAATATCGACAATTTTTGAAAATGAGTTCCATTCAAAGATTTGAGAATATCCAAATATGGAAGCCATTTTCAAAGAAACTTTCAAAAGACAAATTAATGTCCAAACCATTGGCTACAATTTCTTTTTTGGACCATCAAAATCGGTGACGATTTGGACGAGTTATGATTTTTCGAACTCTTACAATCGAAATCCATGGAAAAAAAACTGGTTCTTCAATCGGCGCCCAATTTTGCGGTTTTCGCCTTCTCGCGCCTGTTTCATCCATTCATTCATTCATTTTCTGTTTGCCGAATTCTCAAGGCCGTCTCGATTCATCGCCGACGAAGTGATCGATACGAGAGATGACCATTCGGCGGAGGACGAGATGAAGCTGTACGAGACATATCACGCATATTTCTTTTGTTTCAAATTTCTACCATTGATGCGCTATCGTCTTGTGATTCCTCTCATTTTTGTTGCGGTCATCATCACCAAAATTTCGGTGTGTCGCGTTCTTCGTGGTCCTGGGACCATTTCGACGGAAAAATCGCCAAAATTCCATTTTTTCGCCCAAAATTTCGAATCGATAATTGTTGCTTTGTGAGAAGGGCGCCGCGAAAAAAAAAATTCGACCAACGAGAATATCCCTTTTATGGGCGAAATTGGCGATATCGGTCAATTTCGCTTCTTGCAGTATTTTTTATGAGGTTTTCCGAAAATATCTCGACAAGTGTTAATTGCATCTCAAAAATTTTTCTAGAATATTAAAGCTTAGAAAATTTCCAACAATTCTGTTTTTTGTTGGTCAAATTTGGAGCAAAATTGAACAATTTTCGCAGTTTTGCAAAACCCGCAAAATTGTCCGCAGATGAATTTTATCATTTGCATTCCTCACTCAAGCGTTCTCTTTTCTGGTATTTTATGAAATTTCCTAAATTTGCAAGCATTTCAATTCTTTTTCTCGCCCGTGAAATGTCTGCAGCACGAATCTCACATAAATCATCGCCCATCGAAAATCCCTTTTCTCGATAATTTTTCAAATTTGTGTAAAATTTTTGTAAAAACCATAAATTTGACACAAATTGCCTTTTAAGGCCTCAATTTTCGATACATTCTTCATTCAAGCATTTTTATAAAACGATTATCAAAACCATCGACTTGATTTCACACTTTCCATCTGCCGACAATTTTCACTCAAAACATTTCCCAATTTTTTGGCGGATTTCACTTTTCTCAATGTCCGCTGCAACTTTTTATAATCATCAGACCCCGATTTCGTTCGTTTGAAACGCGTATCAATTGAAACAAATCTCAATAGATCGGTTAAACTTCCAATAAGTCTAATAGGGATCACCGTTTTAGACCCATATCTAGTTTTGTATTAAATTAAAATTAAAGAAATGTATTTCAATGTTAAAGATCAGATATTAAGCTTTAATTTTGTTTATTGGTTAGTTCGATTCGATTAAAATTGAAAAAGTTGGGAGGTTTTAAACCATTCGATTTTAAAAATTAGTTTTCCGAAAATATCTCGACATGCGTTAATTAGAATATTAAATCTTAGAAAATTTCCAACAATTCTGTTTTTTGTTGGTCAAATTTGGAGCAAAATTGAACAATTTGCGCAATTTTGCAAAACCCGCAAATTTGTCCGCAGATGAATTTTATCATTTGCATTCCTCAATCAAGGATTTTCTTTTCTGGTATTTTATGAAATTTCCTAAATTTGCCAGCATTTCTATTCTTTTTCTCGCCCGTGAAATGTCCGCAGCACGAATCTCACATAAATCATCGCCCAACGAAAATCGCGTTTCTCGATAATTTTTCAAATGTGTGTCTAAAATTTTTGTATTTTTTTTATTTGCCCATTATTCGACCAGAATTTCTTGTTTCTTCTTATTCCGCTTATGTTTTGACCCGTGAAATGTCCGCAGCACGAATTGCAGATTAATGGCTGTCATCGCTTCGACGTCGGACGATTACTATGCAAACTATGCGTTCAATTCGCATGATCGACGCGAACGACAAATTCGGGTAAGCATCATTAATTCAAGAATGTTTATGCACATTATTTAGCTACTGTAGGATTACTGTAGCTGTTTTTAATTTTTCCAAGATTATAAATATTTTGTTTCGAAATTTGAGACATTATTACTCGTCCAAATCGTCACCGATTTTGATGGTCCAAAAAAGAAATTGTAGCCAATGGTTTGGACTTTAATTTGTCTTTTGAAAGTTTCTTTGAAAATGGCTTCCATATTTGGATATTCTCAAATCCTTGAATGCAACTCGATTTCAAAAATTGTCGATTTTCAAAACTTTGTAACTCTACGAATTCTTAATCAATTTAGATGGTCCAAAAAAGAAATTGTAGCCAATGGTTTGGACTTTAATTCTTCTTAAGAAACCATATACGAAAAATGCTTCCATATAAGGGTATACTCATTAAAGCGGACGCAACCCAATTTAAAAAAATGCCGATTTTCAAAACCTCGTAACTCTTCGAAATCTTAACCAATTTTGATGAACAAAAAAACAAAATTATTGGAAAATTTCTTAATTTTTACTTTTTTCTAATAAACCGTTAGTGAAAACCGCGTCTAGGTGCCAACAAATGGACAAGAAAACCGTCGCCTCAAATATGGTCATGCCGAGGATGACAACACCGACATCGCCTATCTCAATTTCCCCGTTTTGGTTCCGTCGCTTTTTTTCACCTCAATCTCATTTGGTTGTTTTATACGTATGTTCTTTAGACCCCCCCCAGGGGGGTCTTAATTTTTAAAAAACAAATTCATTGTAGTTGCCGTGATCAGCTCACTTCATACCGACTACGTACCATCAGAAATCGAGCTGGTCCGTGGATTCATTGTGAAATACGGTAGCAGTCGTTTTAGGTGTAATGTGAGTTGAAGGCTACAATGTAGCCATACGCGAATATTTTAAAATCCAAACGAAAGGCTTATGAAATAGTGTATAATTTGGGGAGGGCGCAGAGATGGAAGGGGCACAACACACGTATACGCCGTTTACTGGCAGCGTTGACGTGCAGGGATGGCCGAGTGGTCTAAGGCGCCAGACTCAAGCGTTGCTTGCCTCGCGGTTTCGAGGTCACACTGGGCGTTCTGGTACTCGTATGGGTGCGTGGGTTCGAATCCCACTTCCTGCAGAAATCATTTTTTTTGCGTGCCACCATTATCCTGCCGAATTGCAGTCGACAATTACGATACCCGTCGACGGTCTGCCGTCGATTCTCAATTTGTTCGAGCTCAACGTCGCCGGCAACGTGCTGTTCCGCTATTCGACGTGCGTGCCGATAGTGATTCGAATATTCCACGCGATCACCGTACGCAATCTGATACGCTACGAGTACGGTAGTCAGTATTCGAGTGTGCACAAAGTGCTCGCCGACGCGATGCCCCTCTTCACCGGTCTCGAGGCGATCGCGTTGGCGCTCTTCAGCATCATCACCGTACACGACGATTTTCCAGGTTTCATTTTTTTCCTTCTTCTTCTTCTTCTCATTTCTTTTTTTGCGCTCAGAATTCAATCGCTTCTTCAAAATCGTGTTCGCGATGGGCTCCGTCGTCAATATGCTTTCGACGACCGTCGTCATTTTTGCGTTTTCGACGTCACGCGACGAGGTTCGTTTTTTTTTTGTTAAACGCACTGCAGCCACAGCGGTCGATTGCAGACACTCGACACTGTCGCCATCAGTCTGAAACTCGTGTGCGCGGCGATCTACTGCTATCTGACGCCCCAATACGTTCAGTATCATCAGGCGAGCATCTCGTTTCCGATATGCCATTCCTATTGTGAGTCCGGCAATGTTTTTTTAAAGGCGCATCGCGAGACAATCAGAGCAGGTCTCGACGCGATTTGCTCGATCATTTCGCGTCAGGACCCAAGGTTTTGTAACTATCGCTACAGTACCTCCTCTATTTCAAAAAAAAAGATCAAGTTTTCGGCCAAAAATTCTTTTTGAAATTTCCACACAAAAAACGACTGTTACAGTATCCCTTTTATGGTTTTTTTTCTCAAAAAAATTCGCACCAAATAACTAGTGTTACAGTACCCCCAATTGTTGTTTTTTCTAATTTATGGACATTTTTGCGATTTTTGCAACCGGAAAATCGCAATTACACAATTAACCAAGAGCAAACACAGTCAAAAACAATTGTTACAGTACCCCAAATGTTCGCGCTGATGGAATACGCGATCATCGTCGCCTACGCGGTGTTCCACGTCTCGATTCTCATCGATCTTCGCCGCGTCTCGTTCATCTGCTATCCGCGTTCGGCGAGCGGCGAATGCGAGCCGCTCGATCCCGCCAATTTCGCCAAAGGCGCCAAATACGAGCATTGTCGCGCGTTCGAGTACAATCAGCGGCGGATAATGAACCTCTAATTAATCGCCTCTCGATTAGGGCCATTCTCCATTTCGGGTTGCTCATTCCATCATTCTCGAATAAATCTCTTTATATCGAATCACATGCTGCCGACATTCGTCGAGGCCCGCATATCCGCACAATGCTCAAACACACTGATTCAAAAATATTCCATTTCGTCAAAATCCACAAAAAAAAATGAAACAATTCACAGGAAACAAATCACTAAAAGAACAACGTTTGAAATTCAATTGCATTGACCAAAAAAAAACAGATAAAAACTACAGAATCGAGTAACACAAAAAAAATTGCCAATTAATGGATCGGATCCGACGGCGGACCATAATAAAAAAAATCCCTAAGGATCGAGGGGGAAGATCAAATTGGATGAGAACAGGGATCCATTCCAGCCAAGCCAAATCAAATCGGATCTGGCTGTGGGCCATCCGATCCGATCCAATCCTCCTCCTCAAATTGAAAGAATATTAACGATAAATTAGAAAAAACCAAAAAAAAAAAAACAATGAAAGGTGGTGTTTGAGGAAAACGAGAGAAAAAAAACCGATAGAAACCAAAGAAAAAAAATTAAGAAGGTGGGACTCGTATCATCAAAATATGAACACCGCGTATTAATGAGTGAAGAGAAGATAGAGAGGAAAACAAAAATTAGGAAGTTCGAGAAAAAAAAACAATTAATAATTATTAATATTGAAGAAAGAAAACCGGTAAAAAAAAACGATGAAGAATTGTGTGATCGGGTATCCGGTTAAACATGAGAGAGAGAAAAAAAATAATTGAGCAGTTAGTTGGATTGAATTTCAATTTAAAAAAAAAACAATTAATAGCATCAGATAATTGGTTAATAATTTGCTAATATCAAAATGTGCCCGTTGTCGATCAATACCCACAATGATGAGGTGATAGAGAGGAATAGTGAGAGAGAGAGAGAGAGAGGCGGGGGGAGAGGAAGTGAGGAACAATTAAAAGAGGAAAAAAAAACAATGAAACAACACATCAGCTAGACCTCGTCGTCGGAGATGTCCTCGATCTGAATCGGCTTCCGATTCGCCGACATGTCCGGCGCCTTCGGCAGACAGTCGACGTGATGCGACGGCGTCGTCTCGACGCCGATCGTGATCAGCTCGTTCATGTCTTCGTCGAGATCGAGACGCGACAACATTCGCGGCGCTGCAACCACTGAATCGATCATTTCACTAGCTCGTTTCAAAACGCCACAGTAATCCTACAGTATCCCCGAAAAAGGAGCGGTGAGAACACTACAGTAATCTACAGTACCCTAGGCTTTAAACATTCTATTAAAACCCGAATCAAACAAAAAATCGTCTAGAAACTCTAGAAATCTCAGATCCACAGTAACCCACAAATCAACTACCGTATTCACCCCCTCCCCTGGTCATCAATAATAGAGAATCAAACAAAACCTGGTGTTCCTTTCGAAGATGACGGTGTCGATGAGATTTTGAGTGCCGCCGCCGCCATCAGCTCATCATCATCATCCGACATGTCCGAATAGATCGGCTCGGGAATGGTCGTCGTCGTCGGCTGAACGGTGGCGGGAATCTCGACATTGCTAGTCGGCGTCCGAATCGGTAGCGGCGCCGTCATCGTCATCGACGTCATCGTCGTCGTCGACGACGGCGGCGGTGTCGGCGCGACGTGAATCGCGTGCGCTTGCGCGTACAACTGTTGCGGCGGCAAGAAGCTCGAGCCCGTCGTGCTCAACATCGTCACCACCGGCGGCTTGTTGACAAACGTGCTCGGCGACGATTGCGCAAACGAGCTGATCGTCGTCGGAACCGGTCGCGCGATCGGTCGAACCACCGGCGGGAAGAATTGCTGTTGTTGAGGTTGAGGTTGAGGTTGTGGTTGAAGTTCAACCGGCTTCGTGAGCTGAGCAATCGCAAACGGAGAAGCCTGCTGTTGCTGCTGTTGTTGCTGTTGCTGCTGCTGCTGAACCACAAACTGCTGGAATTGCTGAAATCCAACAATTTCCAGAATCCGACAAAATTCGACCGATCCTACCTGAAGAAGTGCGGCTTGCGGCTGCTGAAGTTGCTGCAATTGGGCCTGATGAAGCAACGCCATGACGGCGTTGGTATTCGTTGGCGGTGCCGCCGTCGCCACCACCACCGGCTGCGATTGAGTCGGTGGCTGGTGGTGGTGGTGGTGGTGGTGCTGCTGCTGCTGTGGTGGTGGTGGTGCCGTCTGGCGATTCGATCGAGCTCTCGACGGCCCTTCATAGATCACCGTACAATCATCGGAAGCCGACGTCGTCGACGCCGGCGATGCCGTCGCCGTCTGACGCGCCGCCATCTGCTGCTGTTGTTGCATCAACGGATTGTTGGGAATCGCGAATCCTTGCTGTTGCTGCTGCTGCTGCTGTTGCTGTTGAACAAGCGTCGCCGCGGCGGCGGCTGCCGCAAACGCGCCCATCGTCGCCGACGCGTGCCTCGCGACGTTGCTCTCGACGGCGGCCGCCGCTTGTTGTTGCGCGGCCGCCGCCATCTGTTGATTCTTTTTGAATTTCTCGTCCATCTCGCGCTTAATTTGCTCAATCAATGGCACGTCCTGCTCGGAGAAGCGCGCCGGCGCCCCTAAACTACTATGAACCTGTGATGGAATCGTTGGCGGCTGCGGCGGCGGCGGCTGGCTCATCCGAGCCGCCGACTGCGGATGCGCCATCATCGGCTGATGCTGCTGATGCTGTTGGCCCGACGTGCCGGCGACAATGCTTCGACCCAAATGCTGAAGCTGAAACAGGATTTAATCAGTTCCTCTAATCCACCGCCCCCTGTTTTTTTTTCTCGGTACCATTGGTCTAGGCCTTGGCGATGCCACCGGACTTCCATGAATCTGCGGTTGCTGCTGCTGCTGCTGCTGCTGCTGCTGGTGGTGGTGGTGTTGCTGAATCTGCTGATGAATGCGAAGCGTCGGCGCCGGCGGCGGTGCATTGCGCTGAATTTGGTAGATACTCTCAACGCCCGATTTGCGTTTGCTCTTCGCCTCCGACGGCTCTTCGACTTGCTTCGGCTGCAAAACGAAACAAGTTGAATCGATCAAAATTCGAAATTCAGAATTCAGATTTATTTTTTTTTGGATTTTCATTTTTTTTGCTTTGACCAACATTCATCATTTCGTTCAACTTGGCGGCCAACAGCATTAGGCAAGCATCGCGATCATCGAATCGCATTCCGCCCATCATATTGGCGGCGGGTGGTGGCGGAGCCGGTAGATCGTAAAACGACGGTGGTGGTGGTGGTGGTGGTGGAAGCATCGGGGCGACAGCGCCACGCGCGCTCATCCGACTACCGCGACCACCGCGCGAAACACCACGTCCAGCACCACCGCGAGCTCCACGACGAGCTCCTCGTCGCGTCGGCGCCTCAAGTGGCGCTATCATCAGCAGCCGCTGCTGATGCTGCTGATGCTGATGCCGCATCACCTCCTGCATCAATTGCGGCGGCATCGGAAACGCCATCGGCGGATAGCCATAGTACGACGGCAACGGGAACATCGTCTAACTTGATCTACAAACCATTATCAGATCGGCGAAAAGGGGAGATAGCGAGCGATAGAGACAGAGAGAAAGAGAGCGGTAGTTCAAATCGAGCAAACGCGCTCCATTGAAAATCTCTAGCAAATCTTCCAATTCAATTTCAACGCACATTTTGAGACAAGCCAAAAAAACTAGAAGGGTGCAAATTTCTCTCCCACCTCCCTATTGTCTGATTTCAACATCGGCTGTCATGACGACGAATCGAGTAAAACCAAATAATTCGAAAGCACGCGATTTTAAATTTTCGTTTCGCGCAGGTCCATATGAGGAGGGGGGGGGGGGCGAAAGGACCCAACAATCCGCATGAGCTTCATCGAGCCGCCCTCGACAAGACGATGAGTCGGACGAAGGAGCCATCGCAATCGGGTCGGAAGGACCCAACAATCCGTCGCCGCTGCTGTCGGCAGACATCGTCAATGATTATTTGGAGAGCGTAACCTCGACAATCAGTGGGTTCATAGAGGCGAAAACCACAAGACGACGGCGGCGGCGGCGGCGAAGACGAAGAAGAGAGCAACAATTTAACAACACCAACAAAAAAAAAACAGATGACAAATGTGCAAGGCTTAGGCAACAAATCCATTTTGAGCCCTTCCCATCCGCCTAGTAGATCATCGTTGCATTTGTCGGACAGCAATGACGCCGTCGGCGAACACCATTAAAGGCAGATGGCTTAACTGAACCGAAATAAAAAAAAAACCAACAAAGACCACCCGTACAAGGAATGAATCGAGGACAGAGCAGGAAGCAACGAATGGAATGTCGAGGGACCAGAGGAAGGAGAGAGAGAGAGAGAGAGAGAGAAGGAAAAGCGCGGCGAGAAAAACGAAGAGGCGTTGAATCTCTTCTCATTTATGGGTTTGATGTTAACGTCAAAAACTCATTTAAAAAATTGACTCAAAGAGCATTCATTGCGCAAAAAAAAGTGCTACCGTAATCCAGAAGCTTGCCATTTTTTTGATTCATTTTAATTATTCCAATTTCGAGATTTCCAAATCAAAAATTGATATGAAATGGCAATTTTTCAAAGCAATTCTCTAGATACGGTAATTAAAGGCGCAGCTACAGTAATCCAAAATTCTCGGTTCTTTAATTTATGTCTCCAGCGCGGCAATTCAAAACAAGAAAAAAAAACATTTCGAAAATACCGTAATCGCTAGAGAAGCCTCAAAACTACCGTATCCCTAAGTGTCATCGATGCCGCCAAATTTCGCCACAATTCGAGTCCTACCGATAGCCTTGAGAGTCTACAGTACGAATTGGAATAGGGCGGATGGCAAGTGCAACAAATCGCGGACCACAAATCTCGCAAAAAGCGATGGGGGGGGCGGTTGAGGACCTACTGATGATACACTTGACGAGAGCACGGAACACAACAACACGGTGTTGTCACATTCTCGACTCATTGTGGTATCTTAATACTAAATTGGTTAGAAAAATAGCACACAAATGCGAGAGAGAGAGAGAGAGAGAGAGTGTGAAAATCTCTCGTGGCGAATTGTGATAAGAGCAAATTTAAAAAAAAAAGTGACGGATTCGGAGAATCTAGACCGATCGCTTCGATCGTCATCGTCTTGTATTGCTCACGGGCTCAATTCCACCATCTGTTTGATGGCTCGCGCGCGCGCGCAACACAATGGCACATATGTTGAGTGTTGAGACAATTTTAAAGGCGCATTGTTCAATAAAACAAAAAAAATGTGGCGATTTGATTTAAAAGCGCATATTGTCATTCGGACAATACCGAAATTCGCCAATTTGTCGGCGCGTCGAAATTTTTCAAGCCTCCTCAGAAACATTGGCTCGATCCAATTTCAAGGCTCATAGACCCAATTCGAAAAAAAATAGCTTAAAGGCGCATGGGAGCGAATCAGCCTAAAGGGACAGAGAGAAAAGAAGAAAAAAAACCAATAATCATAAATTAAAAAGAGGTCGTAAAACAGTTTAAAGGTAGGCGCGTCAAAAAAAAACTGAAAGAAAAGTGTAATTTTTTCGCATCTCTTTTTTTTGCCGCCCGTTTGATGACCGCAAAACAATCAGAAAAAAAATATCTATTTCAACACGAATCATGTGTCAAAATTGGGAAAAAATTGGCGAGTCCAAGAAAAATCCATTTTTTCCGCATTTTTGATATTTTTTAAAAATATTGTAAATAGCAAAATTTGGGTCGCCACAATCATGGGACAACAAAACAAAAAAGAGCAGATAAATTGAAAATGGAAAAGTATGGCCAATTTTGGAAAAAAAAAAATCTATAAACCACAAAAATCGTACAATTTTTCAACAACAAAAAATCAAAAAAATTGGATTTAAAACTTCAACTTTTGCCAATTTCGCGGAAAAACGGACCATTTCGATTAGAAAATCATTTAAAATTAAAAAAAACCCAACAAAAATTGGTGCAATTTTTCAAGAAATTCGAAATATATTTTTTGCGCCACAATTTGACAACAAAAAAACAGAAAATCTCAAAAACGGACCATTTGAATCGCAATTTTTCAAGAAAATGAGACGAAAATAAAGCAATCTGAAATTATAGCCAAAAAAAAAACAACGAAATCATCCCTTTTGCCGAAATGATAAAGATTTTTGCCCGCCGATGCGAAAAAAAAATTCAACGAAAAAAAAAATCAAACCCACCAGTTTCAACTGATCCGGCGTTTTGATGCCAATACCGCCGCGTTGTTGCAATTGGTGTGATGGTGTCGGTTGTGGTGTGGGCTGCGATGGCGGCGGTGCCGCTGCCGATTGCTGAAATGCCACTAGTCAGGCGTCATCGTCGAGCAACCCGGATCAATGTCCGCGACGAATGTCATTCAAAAATCGCAAAATCGCTACCTTCGGAATATGCGACGTCGACGGCGATGACTGCGCCTCATGTCGAAGAATAAACTCGGAGAAATTCTGGACACTGCAAATCGACAATTATTTTTTTTTGGGCAATTGCTCAGAAAACCACTCACGTTATCAAGCATTCGGTTCGGCGTTTTTCAAGCGCGTCGCGATCGGCGCGAAGCTTCGCAATCTTCGATTCGTGCGACTGAATCTTTTGGCACATCTGCAATTGAATCAATGAAAAATCCAATGCTCTCGGTTGGCGCTCACATAGTCATACGTGTTGCGATTCTGCGTCGGCAGCGTGCCTCGCTGCTGCGTCATCAACTGAAATTGGGCATCGAGAATCGCCAATTCCGCCGTCTTCTTCTGAACCTCATCAAACGCCTGACGTGCTTCGATCTCCTTCTGAAACAACAATATTTTGGTGTACGTCCATCTCCCCAATGCTCGCCAACCTTTTTCAGTTCCTCTTTGATGCGGCTCAACTCGAAAATCGGCTGCGGTGCGCGATAGGTCTTCGGCGGCGCCGGCGCCGGCGAAGGTGTGATCGGCGTCGGCCTCAGAATCGCCGGCGCCGTCGGCGCCACTCGCAACAATTGAAGAACTTGCGGATTGCCGCTCGCCAACAACGCCTGAACAATTTGCTGTTGACTTGCCGCCGTCAATTGTTGGCCAAAGTCGGGAATCGCGCGTCTGATGATCTCGGTGATTTGTCGATTGATGTCGTCCGGCGATAATGCCGCCGGCGGCGGCGGCGCTGATGCTGGGGCTGCAATTGGCGGTGGTGGCGGCGCCGTCGCCTCCGTTGGTGTCGGCCGCTGGAACGGCGTGCCGGCGGTGATCGAACCCATGACAACCGACGACGACGACGTCGTCGTCGCCGCCGCTGTAGGCATCGTCACCTCAGCCGGCTCGTCAATGATTATCTCCGGCGGTGGCGCTGGACCGGGCTCATCGTCAACGGCGACACGCTTCGCCGCCGGCGCCGCCGGCGCCTCCTCAACCTTTTCAATCTCATCGGGAAGCAGCGGACCCGATTGCGGTGGCTCCTCAATCTCAATCACGTCCGGCTCATCGTCTTGCGGTATTAGGGCCGCCGGCGAGCCGCCCGCCGGCCTCTTCACACCTCTTCGCGTCGTTTCCGGCTCCGGCTCGACTCGAAGCTCCTCGTCGTCCTCCTCATCGTCAACCTCCTCGTCCTCCTCTTGCTCCTCTTTCGCGTCCGCCAACTTCTTGTCGGCCGACGTCGTCGGCGAATCGACCGTCTGATCCATCTCCTCGTCCTTCGCTCGCCCGTTGTCGCCGTTCATCGCGTCCACCTCGTCCTGCTTCATTCCGTTCAGCTTCTGATATTGCCGTCGGCATTCCATCCACGTTCGTCGTTCCATCTCGTTCGAGATGTCCATCCAGTTATGGATGCCGAATCGATTGATGATGCTGGTGAGACGGGCGATCTCAGCATCCGTCCAAGCCACTTGACCCTCATATCGATCGATTTCAGCCCGAATTTCCGGATCATTGTCCTCGATCTGAAAACAAAAACGTCAAAACTCAATTTTTTTTTCAGAAAGCTGATTTTTACAAGATCTAAAATTTCAATTTTGAGTATGAATTCAAAGGTTTGAATTTTTTTTATATTATTCAAAGTTTGGACCAAAATTTTTTCAGTAAAAAATCGTTCAATCACGCTTTTTTTGGGCGCGAAACTTAGATTTAAAAAAAAACAAAGCTGATATTTTCGGAACATTCCAAACATTTTCAGGAAAATTAAGAAAAGATCTTTTTTTTCCTGGACCCCCCCCCCCCTTCCTCAACATCCCAACAATTCGAACGACGAACAACGGACCTTTTGAAGAATGTTCAAAAATTTCTTCTGGCACGCCGCGCAAAATTTCAGCGACGCTCGCGACGCCTCGATTTTGTCGAAAACGAACGCGCGCTCGCGCAACGTCAACTCTTTGAGATTCGCCGGCAACGGTTTCGACGGTTTGTTCTTGCGTTTCGTCATACACGTCTCGCTGCTGCATCGGCTGAAAACCAAAACGATCATTGTCGGCCGTCAAAAACGCCCGCAAAAAAAAAAACAAAACACACACACACACGAGGCGGCGGGACCATCAATTGTTCGTTCGCGAATCAATCGTTGATGATGCGCGTCGGCTATAATGCAATGTACGCAGTTTCGCGTAATTTTCGCCGCCTCGTCGCGCAAATTGGCACATTGCCAACAAATTTTTTTGTTGAAATTTCGTTCGAAAATTGGTCGACACTTTCAAAAAAAAAAAAAGCAAAACCCTGCACAATCACAATTTTCAAAATTATGTGCAATTTCTACAAAGTTGTGACTTTTATTTTGATATTTGATTTTTAAAATCGAATTCATTCTGTTCAAGTGTGGCCGTGGCCGTGGCCGAACCAAATTTTTGAAGACACTTTTTTCTAGGCCATGTCAAAACCAAAATTGGCAGAAATTTCTCGACAAAAACGCTCACTTCAAGTATTTCAGTTTGACCGTCTCCTCTCGACAACGAAAACAAATCGCGGCGTTCAATTCGGGTGAGAGTGCTGCAAAAATAAAAAAAAAACGAAGAAAATAAATTGAAAATTGTTTGTTTTTTCTCACCGTATAGCTCATATCCTTCGCGCGGCAATTGACATCCGGGAATCTCGACGCCGTCGATATTCTGACAACACATGAAGCACATCGGCATCTTCTTCTCGTCGGCAAACGGACCAATCGGCACCATTATTCGGAATAGGGCGAGATCTTCGTCGGGCGGACTGCTCGCCGGCTGAAGTCGCATCTAAACAAAATAAAAAATGCGAAACGTTTTGCCAAAAAAAAATTAATCAAAAAATTTCACTTTTTCCTCGATTCTTCTAAATTTTTTTCAAAACGCCAACAATTTCTCGAAATTTTCACTGAAATGATCTCAAAATTTGGAAAAAATTGCGCTTTTTACCGAAAAAAAAAGACGAAAATGAAATTTTTCATAATATTTGGATGTTTTTTTTCTCTCTTTTTGAAATCAAAAAACCTTGTTTCTTATTAAATTTCCTAGAAAAAAAAAACAACCCAAAAAAATGCTCAAAAATCATTGCAAAAACAAATCAAATTTCTCAAAAAATTTTTCGAAAAACTCAAAAATTTCGCGCTTTTCTCAACATTTTTTTGGACAATTATAATTTTTTAAAACAAAACTATACGAAACCTTGCTCTTGTGGAATTTCCTCTTCTTTTTCGCAAACGTGCTCTTGTACATCTCCTTCTTTTTGGTCAGATAATAGAAGAGCACACAGTCGCTCGGCGATTTGTCAATGAAATACTTCGACATCGCGCCGAAATTCTTACAGTGGTCCGGCAGACGCGCTTTGAACACTTTTCGCTCCTCGTCCGACCACGCCGCCAAGCATTCATCGATCCTGCAAACAACGGCAACTACTCAAAAATTTTGGCATCTCCACATTTTCCGATTTCGTCATTAAATTGATGAGACCATTTCTCCCCGTGCCCCCTGGTATCTCAAAACCAATCGGATCCGACAAAATCAACCTTATCCGATTGGAAATTCTCATTGTCAAACTGTCGGATTCGATTGGATATTTGAAAAAAAAAATTTAAAAATCGTTGACATGTCATTCTCGAATTCTGGCGATGTCACCGCACGATCCGAAAATGATTCTGAAGCAACTCCTATTTTTATTTTCATTACTAGTAATTTAAAATCGGTGAAGTTTTGACAGCGGACATCATTTTCAAACAGTTCCGTACTACGGACCAATCAAACTCAGCGATGTTTTTAGAAAATTTTTTAAATCGAAACAATTTTGTGTCTGTTTCTCAATTCATTCAATTTTTAGACGCAATTTGAAACATTTCTAGAAACTTGAAAAAAATGCACAAATCCAATTTTAATTGCGGAAAATTAACGCAAAAAATCGAGAAATCCATAGAAAATTTCTACATTTCAAGTAGTTTTTTTCTGACTATTCGTTTTGATGCTTCTCAAAGTGGTCTCACAACGAAAAGCGTCGGCTCTATTCTGTGGAAAATGATTATTTTTTTCAATTTCAATCTAATAAAATTAACCATTTTTTAAAGGGCAATTTCAAAAATTCATAGCACTCACATTCGCCTATGCCTATCCGCCATATCGGTGATAACCGCACCAGGCCGTTCGACAAAAACATCCTCTTTTCGTTCGCGATGCGTGAGAAGCGGCGGCGGAGAGGCGCGTCCTTTGATCACCTTCTCTTCGGCAGCTTTCTGCAAAAAAAAACCAAAATCAATGGCTTTGTCAGAATAGGTCTCGCTGTGTACTCCACACGGACAATGGGCTTCTAGAGAAGATCGCCACATTAAAATTTAAAAAAAATAAAATAATCGATTATAGGGTCTTGCAGTGACCGATTCTGGTAGTAAAAAACGAGATTCCATGAATTGCATCGGGTTTCGAAACGAAACAAATCGATGCATAAAATTTTTTTGCAAACGCGATATCAAATCGTCAAAAAAAATGCAAATTTCCACCAAAATTCGCAAATTTTTTGTTTATTTTTTACACAAAACAAATTTCGACAAAAAAAAAGACCATGATTGGTAAAACCGAAAACACCGTACCCGATTCTGTGCGGCGTTCGGATCCTCGCCGCGCGTTCGCTCGCCTCTCGCCTGCCGCTCTCGATCCTCGCGCTCTTTCCGCATGTCGGGAAACACCTTCTCGAGTGCTTCTCGCGTGATCGCATCATGCGTTCTGCAAATGATAAAAAATATATATATATATAGTGATAAACGAGTAATTCTCCCACTGTTCCCTCTAAATGTGTGGTCCTGCTCTTCAACTAGAAACAACAACAACAAAAATCGGAAAGACTATTCTGGAAATTCGTTTCAAATCAGGGCTGTGCGGAAATTTCGGCGAATTGCCGAAAATCAAAATTTCGGCTATTAAATGTTTTCAACGATAATTCGAAATATAAATACCGAATTTTCACGGTATCCCAAATTATTCAATGGACATTGATTTTGGTTTCGCCGATTTTTTTTTTGATATCAAATTGCCGAAAATCAAAATTGCCGCACAGCCCAGTTTCAAATCATAAAATTTTGGATCCAAAATTGACACAACAATACTTCGAAATTCGTCGCATTCAAGTGCTCTTTGTAATTTAAGACCAAAATTTGCCGTATTCGATTCAAAACGAATATTACCAGATTATAAATTTAAATAAAAGTCCATTTAGAGTTTGATCGAAAGCAAAAAAACCAAACTCACTTCTTCTCTTCGCTATTCTCCCAATCATCAATCAATTTCTCAAATTCGCGCTGCTTTTCCCGGTACGTGTGCACCAGTTTCCTGAAAAAAAATTTTTTTTTTCGAAATTGAAAAATCGCCTTCCATATATGCCGATTTTGTGAGGAAATCTCTCAAAATCTCCACATGGCTATTAGAATTTCTTATAATTTCGAGCTTCTTCTTATTTTTCTTTTTGAGCTGCAAATGTCAAATACGCCAAAATACTCACCTTTTCCCCATAATCTCTGCCTCCAGATTGTCCAGGATTTCGTCGTCGAGCGGCGTACACCTTGTCCACTTCTTACGGCGTTTGCGCTTTCTCTCCAGGTCCGCTCTGCAAAAAAAAGAACGAAATAAATAAAAAACATTGGCAAATTCATAAAAATTGAACGATTTCAAGACAAAAATAAAAAAAAAGGGGGAGGTAAAGTGAAGAAAAATGGGACCAACAAAAACGGGCGTCAACCATCAGATGAACAAGAATTCTTCGGCAAATCTACAACGAAAAATAATAATCAATATTTGCAAGAAAAGTGCAAAAGAAAAAAGAAATGAAAAATCGACAAATGTCCAAAAATCGCCCAAGAATGCATTTTCGATATTCGTTTTCTCTGGCACTCTCTCAATTTGACGTTGTCTTAAGAGGATCAAAAAATTTGCTTAAAAAACATAAAGAAATTCAAATTGCTGTCATTGTTGGGCTAGAAATTGAGATTTTCCTATCAAAAATGTGTCCGCAGAACAATTTTCACAAATCAATCTCGTCAAAATCAAAAAAAAGAAGTTCGCATCGTTTATGAGAAACGACATTGCGATTTCAAAAATTCGGCGATTTTTTCCTCAAAAATTAATTCAATTCCACTAATAATTACCCAAAAAAAAGAAACGAATGCAAAAAATTAGGCGAAAAAAACGAGAAGAGACGGAAGAGCGGGAGAGAGAGAAAGAGGAAGTGAGAGAGCGCGCAACGATGAGAGACGCCGAGAAACGGGCGGTCCATAATTGGTGTGTGTGTCTGCAGCCGCCAAACGATGGACCAAAAAAAACACCGAACCACCTAAACGAAATAATCCGAAAATGACGGACGACAGGTGCTTCTGAGAGCAGTTCTCGGGACCATTAACGGTTTGGTTCGTTATCGGTGCAATAATTCGAGTCGAGACCCAAAACTGAAGCACGAAAAAGCGACTATATACTTATGAATCGCCAACAAACACACAAAGCCACATTTTTTTAAAAAAAAGTTTGATAAGAAGAAGGCAAAACAGCAAAAAAATCCGCGCCCCTCGAAAAAGGTCAAAAAACAGCCGCGCGGGAAATAGTGTACGAATCAGAGAGGGAGCAGACGAAAAAAGTGAAAAAATTAATAAAATGAGCCCAAAAACAAAAAAAAAATTGGGTGAAATTCGAATATTTGATTTTCGTTTTTTTCCAATTCCCTACGGTGGCGTTTAAAGGCGCATAGCAATACTAGGAATGGGTCTAGAGAAGAACAAAATCAAAATGTTCTCGAAATTCCATGAGAAAATCATTTTCGCTGAAATTCTTTCTTTTTTTCCTTGAATTTTCATCACAACGACGCACAACTTCATCAAATCGCAAAATCCCAATTTAAAGGCGCATAGTTTGCAAATTGTTAATGAAAAAAAAAAGCCAAGTGTGCTCCGAACAAGTTATTAACTGAAAACCAATGTGATGTTTTAAAGGCGCTCGAGGAAGGTCTCAACGCGAAACGTCGAAAAGCGTACGTGGTACAAAACTACAAAATATTTTATAAACGACCAGGGGATACTTTTTCTGTGTGTGTGTGTGTGATTCTCTCTCTCACTCTCTCTCTCTCTCTCTCTCTGTCCATCTCGCCGAAGAGACGCCAGACAACACGACGCTTTCTTTCTCTGTCGCTCTCATCGATGCGCGCACTCTCTCTGTCTCGCTCTCGCCGCCGGCGTCTCGCCAATCTTCAACGCCCAAAAACCATAGCGCAAAATGACAACCCCCCCCCCATCTACGTGTGTGGCGCAATTGCACCAAAAGAATTGGTGCAATTTCAGAAATTCACCAATTTTCTAGCAACAAAGAAACATTCAAATGAAATGCGGAATTTTTTTTTTGAAAATCTTGCTCAATGAGAAGCTTCAAATCCTAAAGAAAAAAATTTGAATTTTTAACAATTTCGTTTTTTTTTGTTGCAATTCCACAATGAATTTTTTTTCGAAAAAATCAAATTAAAAAAAAAAGAAAATCATTATTTTTCATTTTTTTCCCGCAAGCAATTCATAAAATTCTATCAGCGAAAAGCTAAAAAATCATCAAAGATACCAGTTTTTTCCAAATAATGTCCGGTCAAGGTCAAATCGACAAAAAAAAGCGTTAGTAGGTTGGGGGGGGGAAGAAGAAGAGAAAAAAAAAGACAACATCTCCATTCACACCAATCAGTTAATCTCAGGGAAGTCGTTGGCGACTTGGTGCACACCACATTGGTGGTGGTGATGGTGGTTGGGGTGTGTCGACAACGAGTCGACAGTTGTGTGTTTGAGTGTGTGTGCGCGCGCGCGTCCTCTCTGCCCCGTCTGCGCGTCTCCCGCGATCATGCCCGGGGTCGCCGCCGCCGCCGCCGCAGCCGCCACCGACGACCCTTCGAATTCAATCAGAGGGTTTAGAGAAAAACGAAAGAACACACACACACACACACATATTGCAAAAAAAAACTCCCAGCGTCATTGAAATCAAAATCCGACCCATCATCGAATGTCGATCCGTGTCCACGAGGACCCGTGCCAGCGACGCTTACGAAAAATTGCCTGCCTTCGGGTCCCAACGCGAACACCGATTTTCTAGTTGCTCAATATTTTTTCTGGGTCTCGACGCGCAAATAAATGCCTACTGAATATACCAAAATCGTCGGCGAGTGAAAAGCATTTTTTGGAAAAAAAAAATTTTTTTTTGAACCTTTCGCACAAAAAATCGCATTTATGAAGATGAAAACCGAAAAAAAAATGAGCGGGACCTGCAAAAAATCGACAATTTAGGGTCTCATATAGAAGTCGCTTTTAAAAAAAGCCAGGCGATCAAAGCTCAATTACGCTCAAAACAAGAAACCGAGGGAGATAATCGCTGCAAGACCCTAGTGCCTACTGTAGTTGGGTCTCGAAGTTGCAAAAAAGACAACAACAACAAAACCAGCGTAAGATGATACGCAAGCACCGCCAGATGTTTCCTCACCGCTTCCCCTCGCCCTCCTCCGCTCACCTCGTATCGATTATTTGTACAACCATAGTTCGCTTATTTTTCATCTTTCTTTCTTTCTTCACCCCATTGTTGTCAATTCCTTCGTCGCCGTCGTTTATTTATCGAGTTCAGCGACCGGCATTCATTGACTTGAAATCCCGCAACGATGTCCGCTGATGCGAATTTCGACATCTACTTAAACGCGCAATTTTCGGGAATTTCGAAACCCGCACAATTGTCGGCAGATGGTGTTATTGTTTTTCGCTCTTTCGAATTTCTTCCGAAATATGTAGATTATCGCATTATAACACAAACTTTCGAATTTCTAAAACCCGTAAAAAGGTCCGCAGATGATTTCAAAATTGAGTTATTTCGAGTCATAAACCTGAAAAAAATGTCCGAAGATGGAAACTAACATCATCAGTGCGATCGGCAATGAATTTGAATTTTCTTTTTCAAATAAGGTTTGAAAAAAAATGTCGGCCAATTCCCTTCAGGACCACTCGGGCTCCCATACATGGGCATTCCATTTTGAATTTTTTTTTCATCAATAAAATCCAATTTCTGAATTGAAAACCGAAAATTACGGGAATTTCTAAAACTCAAATTCAAGCCATTCTGATGCAAAATCAACAAAAAAAAATCCAATTTTAATTTGCGAAAAACGAAAATTCATAAACCATTCCAAATTACCCATAATCTCATTCAAAAATCACGTCGCCTCATCAAAATGGTCTCAACGCGAACGAAAGAGGTAACGAAAAGCGTGTGGCGAGCGGCAAAACGTCGTCGACGCCCTTCGTCCGGCGGCGATTCTCTGCAAATTTCACGCAATGTTCGAAAATCGGCAGTGAAGAAAAAAAATCAAAGTGCACAAAAAATTGACAAGTTTAATTCAGGTGGAAACAAAATAGAAAATTAATGAATAAAATGCAAAAAGTATGGTGGAAATTTATTGAATCGAAATAAAGAGGATGGCGATGGCGAGAAATGGCGTTGAAAAAAAACGATAAAAGAAATGCACAAAAATTCAATTTTTCTCCCTTATAAGGAGGACCACTACAACTGAATTTCCAATTCAAAAAATCAACAAAAAATGGTAAAAATTTCTTTTCATTCTTCTCAACCGACAATTCTCGTTCAAAGCCATGAACCAATAAAATTATGTCTAAACATCACGTCGCGCACTTTTGAAATCATATCGTCGTCGTTCTCGTTGATGTACTCAGCGACAGCCAGCATATCGACGTGTTGATTATGCATACCCTTCAAAATTTCAATGAGATCAATTCGACGCTTTTTTTCCATTTCCAAATACCACAATTTGCATAGTGCTCTAATAAATCAGATTCCTCTTCGTTGAGAAAAATCAAAAAAAAATATTTTCGAGAGACGTTAGGCTCTCAAGGAACCTCAAAACCTCTAATTTGATTTTTTTTTTGTCCAAATTTTGTCGGATCCAATTATTTTTTTTTCTTTTTTTTTAGTTGAATTTACCTCATTTTGCGCGGCGATGAACATTTTTATCATATTTCGAATCGCGTGCTCCTTTTTGCGTTCTCGCTCCTAAAACAAAAACCTCAAATTCTTTTTTATATTAAAAAAAAATAAATGAAAATATCACCTGGCGCACTTCTCCCACCAATCCGCCACCATTCAGCGCCAAATAATCGGCGACCGCATTATAATCGATATACACCATTCGATGGCGACGCTGCAAAACAAAAAAAAAATAAATGTTGCATCGCCAATTAATGATTACGGGATTATCATTCTCGATCATGATCTTGTTGATTTCGCCTTTGATAAATTTCTTGTACTCCTCCGAGTTTTTGTCCATCGCTTCCGGCCTCAAATTCGCCGACTGCGTCAAATTCATCACATCGCCGCGTCGGCATCGAATCTCCTGTCCATTGAAACGAACGCTCACCCATTCATCGCCATCATCGTTCCGATTCGGATCAGCCGCCGGATTCGCATCATTCGGAGCATCGCCATCATCATCATCTTCTTCTTCTTCCGACTCTTCATGTTCCTCATTCGCTGCTCTTTCCTAAAATTCGCCATTTTAAAGGCGCATGTCATCTCTCATCAAATATTCAACAAAAATGCCGCAATCACTCCAATTTTTTGTTTTCGCCTCTCATGCGCCTTTAAAATCCCAACACATTCAAAATTCGATGAAAACTTTTGGGTCTCATATGGATAATCTTTTCCTAATCTTTCTCCCGGATTAAATAATTAAAAATGCGAGAGGCGTCTAAATATGCAGAAAATGAAAATGTGTGTGCAAATCATTGCATATCCCTCAAGCGAGCATAGGAAAAAGCGAGACGAACACGTCGCTCTTCCTCATATTTAATCCAACCCCCCCCTCCCCTCTCTTCCTCTCATTCCTCCTTCTCCTCAACACCAAAAAATTTATGCACACACACAAAATGAAGGAATGTGCACGAAGATAGTGCCGACGAGCTTTTATGGGAAGAAGGCCAACAGAAAAAAAAAAACATTGAACGGAATGGGATAACTAATTGAGCATCGATTCAAAGGCGCATAGTCTATCAACTAGCTAGAATGCCGTTTTAAAGGCGCATGGGTAAATTCCAAAATCTTTTATGAATTAAAGGCGATCTCTGGGGCAGATTGTTTAAAGGCGCATGGCCAAAAAAATGGCAATTTTTCAAATTTGATGGAAAAATTCGCGTCATCATTTTTTTCTGTTGATAACACCGCCTTCGTGCCACTTCTCGCAATGATTAGATCATTAGTAAATTGTTGCAAAAAAGGGCATGGTAGAACCATCATATTAGTTTCTCGAATAAAAACGAATTAATGATGATCAGGAGGAGAAGCGCTGAAACAATGTCGATTTTTGCGGCAAAATCCTGCCGCTCTCGCGACCAAATTACGTCGCGTGACGGCGAAAAATCGCCGCGCACATTTTCTCAAATTTCGTCGTCGGTTTCTTTTTTCTTCGAGAACAAAAGAAAAAAAACGTCCATGTTTGATATTCAGACAAGTTTGCGAAAATCGATTTTTAAGACAAATTTTCGCGGTTTTCCGAATCGAAATCACCGCCTGGGTACTTTAGCACAAATTCATTGGTTTGATGGATTCGAGAGCTTGAAAAGTGTCTTAGCTGAAGTATATGGAAACAAAACCTCATCGACATCGATGTCCTCGTCGTCGGAATGAATTCCAATCGAAATTATTTCGACGTCATCCTCACTAAAATGATATTCGAATTGAATATTCAAAAAAAAAATAAATGAATCGGAACCCATCATCACGTCGCGCAGCAGGCGGCATCTCAATATCATTCTCCTCCATTTCAGCAAGAGTTTCGACTGAAAATCAATAAATTTAATGTTTCGTAGAAATTCTGAAGAATGGAGGAATGGAAACATGAGAATTTTGAGGATGCTGAATTACGAAATCTAAAAATTTCATATTCAGTGGACAGCGATATTCGAAGCGAATCGATTCAACCAGAATTCTGAAAAATCAGCAAGAGAAAAAAGCGCTTGAAGGTACAAAACTATACTACAACTTGAGCTACTAAACTGCGGGCAGTCTATGAAAGACGGCGTGTCGTCAACGACGACGATGCTGGTATGAGGCGGCGTCTCGTGATTTGCAATCAATCGCGACGCATCTAGAATTAGATTTTATTCGAATTATTGCGAATATCATGACTTCTCGACATTCCATATCCGCAAAATTCACGGATCGAACACTAACCTCACGTTTTTTCAATTTGCAATAATTCAAAGAAGTCGCGCGAACTCTTCGATTATTCCTAGCAAGTTTCGTATCGGATTGGATCATCAACAATTTATAACAAGTTTATATAAATAGACAACGAAATTAAGCGCGAATTTCGAAACGAAGTGGCGCGAGGAGTTCTGGGGCGTTGTCCTTGGTAGTGACGGTGTGAGCAGCACGTGGTTCGACTGGAAGTCTCTTCAAAGCTGGAACTGGTTGTTTCGCAGCTTTGGCGGCCTTTCTTTTCTCATCATTCGACTTGACGCGGGCCAAGAAATCGAGTCGGCACTTGGATGGCTTGATGTGCTCAACGCGGATGTTAATTCTTTTTGGAAGGATCTTTCCCCTGAAAACAAAAATTGTATTTAAGACCGTACAATTCATAATTAAGAAAATTGCACAAAGTTGATATTTTAGAAAAATGCTTTCAATAAGAAAATTTAAACTTATCGAAGAAAAAATTTTTCATCTATTTACCTTTTTTCCAAAAAAACTAATTTAAACATGGTCTTATAAATATTCATATTTTTGTGAACATTAAAAAAAAAGAAAATGTTCAAGACGCATAAAGAGCAACAAGACAACCCTTAAATATTTGGGTCTTTTTTAATTTAGCAATTTCCGTTATCGCAATATCAATATGAAACAAATTACCTGACTCTTTTGTTCACAATGATACCAACAGCACTCTTGGTGACATTGAAAATCCTTCCGGTTCTTCCGTGATAAGCCTTGAATGGCATACCCTTCTGGAAGGCTCCATTTGTGACGATATCGACAAGATCTCCACGCTTGTACTGGGTGTAGTAGGTGGAAAGATGTTCAACTCCGTGCTTGCGGAAGTCGCGAGCGAACATATAACGCGTTCCGCGTCTGAGACCCTTTGAGTTGGTCATTTTGTAACCCTGAAAAAATTTGTTTAAAAATAGACAAATTTCTGCGAGTAAAGGAACGAAAAATAGTAGAAAATACAAAAATACATGAAAGTGGCAGTTTTTTTGTTAATTTCACAGAATTAAAAAATTAAATAACGTGAAAAAATTGACAAATGCATCTAGATACTATTTTCGATATGAAACACCTTAAATTCGCGAAAATAATCGATGAAAAATCACTTAAAATCTCTAACATGTGCGAAAAAGAGAAAGACAGCAAATTGTAGGATTACGGTAACACGAGTTCAGAAGTGTGGGGCCTCCCGTAAATCGTTTGAAGAGTTGTCTCTGCTCGTCTGCCGTCTCTTCTCAATTCCACTTCTCTCGCTCAATTTATTTTTCATTTTTTTTGAAAATATTCGTCTAAATTATCTGTTTCATAATGAAATCGTAAATTTCTCTCCGAAATAGTCTAGTTTTGGTCGTAATTTTTGATTTTAACCGTTTTATTTTATTCAGGCAATTCGAAATTGATTGCAATTTTAACACAAACAATTTTCATCAAATAAATTCTAAAAACTGTTTAGTGAAAATGTTTTTGCGTGTTTCTCAACGTTCATTTTAAATTGCTGATAATAACTTCCAGGTTTTATTCTTAAAATTTTTATAATTGTTCGGTCTTGGTCAATTTATATTCTTTCAGAATGTCTGGAGTTGGGTCGATTGTCTACAACGCCGTTTCGCGACGATTCTCCACCGTCCTCTTGGCGTCAGTTGTTGGAGCTTACGTCTTCAACTATTCCTTGGACGGAGTCACCAACTACTATTGGGATACGGTGAGAATTTCAAACGTTAAAATTAAATGTATAATGGGGCAATGTAGAGAAAATAAAAAAAATAAATAAATTGTGCAAATAATATATATTTTTTTTGCATTGAAAATTTGTCTTTATTTATTTTCTCTGCATTTCTGATTAAAATTTTCTGCTTTTATAAACTACAGAAATCTATTTTAACGCAGAAAATAATTCAGTCGAATGTACTTTTAGCTTTTCAAATTATCATCAATCGTTTTTACTTAATAACGATTAATCATGCGTAAATAAAGCTAATCCGTTTATTTTATGAGTTATAGTAAAGAAATAATTATTTTATCCGAGCAATGAACGAAAAATTATACTACGTTTGCAAAGAAACGTGTACTGGGGGATTATATTTTTTTTATTATGAAAATCCATCATATTCTGCAAATTTCGAGATTTTTGCTTGGAATTATAAACCGGAATCGATTATTTTGTTTTGCAGGTCAACGCCAACAAGCAATGGAAGGACGTGAAGAAGACGATTGTCCAGGAATGAAATGACGCGAATTCGCGATTTATTCGGTTCTCGAAGCAGCGTCTTCTTTCAATCTTCGATTTTTAGTTACATAGAATGTATAATTTTCGACAAATAAAATCTTTTTCCCTAGATCCTTTTTTGCGTTTTTAAAGTTTCCAAGGAAAATTTCTCGAATTTTCAGCGCTAATTCGCCCAACTAGCGAGAAAACGCCCGGATTGAAGCGAAAAAGATCGTCAATCTCCGGAAGATTGTTTAGTAAGCAAAAATTTGCCTAAAATGCATTCTAATGGAAAATTGCAGAAAAGCATGAAGCTGATGAAAATCTTGATGAATCCGGAGGCGAAGAAGAAGCCGAAGAGCGAGGATTCGCTATTTCCAAGTAAATAAAGCGATTCAAATTCAAAACTAATGAAGAAATTGTTAAGGCCATCGACAAGTCACGGAGAAGCTGGCAACGATGCTGGAAAACAGCTGAAAATTAATAGCATTTCATCGCGAAAGGGAGAATATTTTGTTAAGAACGGTGAGTTTCAAATTTTTCTGTTGAAAAAATGAAATCAACTGGGGGAAATTTGCAGCCGATGGCATTCCCACCGAGAAGTTCAGCATGAGATATCGAAATTTGCTGCACAGATAACGTCCGGAACTCATGTTCAAATATCTAGCCGCTCTTTTTGTCGTATAGTTTTAAGCAATGAAAATTTTATGCGAAATTATACACCCGTCCTTCTATGCCAGAACGACTTCGAACTTTCGTCTTGAAGTTTGACAAGCCGAAGAATTCATGAACAACAAAGACCAAAATATGCAGGTTTTAAGAACGTCATGGCTACACTGAATTTTCAAGCAACAAATCAAGAAAAATCCAAATTCTAATAATTTTTTTTTCTAAATTTCCAATAATTCAGAACCAACTCTTCAGTAGAACGTTGCAGAATCATCAACAATTTATAACAAATAAAATTATGAACATAATAATACAGTAGCCCAACCGGAATGCGCAATGCGCAAGTAGCTTCTCGGTTAACTTTCAATAGTAACCGAAAAGACAAGGAGCGAGAAAAATAAGAAATTAATTCATCACGCTCGCAGCTTCAAACTCAACCACATAACACGTTTTATCTCCAAAAACAATCGAGGAAACAATTGACTTTTTCGTGCAAATCATGCCAAGATTTCGAAACGAAGGGGTGCGAGAAGTTCTGGGGCGTTGTCCTTGGTAGTGACGGTGTGAGCAGCACGTGGTTCGACTGGAAGTCTCTTCAAAGCTGGAACTGGTTGTTTCGCAGCTTTGGCGGCCTTTCTTTTCTCATCATTCGACTTGACGCGGGCCAAGAAATCGAGTCGGCACTTGGATGGCTTGATGTGCTCAACGCGGATGTTAATTCTTTTTGGAAGAATATTTCCCCTGAAAATAGGAACATTCGAATTTAAATTTAATATGTAAGAATAGTAAAATTCTGGAGTATGCAAATTATTCAAATGAGTTTTCAGCAAACAAACTTCACAAAAAAAATTATATGAACATACCTGACTCTTTTGTTCACAATGATACCAACAGCACTCTTGGTGACATTGAAAATCCTTCCGGTTCTTCCGTGATAAGCCTTGAATGGCATACCCTTCTGGAAGGCTCCATTTGTGACGATATCGACAAGATCTCCACGCTTGTACTGGGTGTAGTAGGTGGAAAGATGTTCAACTCCGTGCTTGCGGAAGTCGCGAGCGAACATATAACGCGTTCCGCGTCTGAGACCTTTAGAGTTGGTCATTGTGAAACCCTGAAAAAACTTGTTACAAGTAAGAAGTTATTGCAAAAATAAACAAAAAGGCAAGAATAAAAAATTGAACATAAATTGAAGGAAAACGACGTTAAAACACGGAATTAAAAAAGCAGGAAAAATTGGGAAGTATGTTTCCTATTTGAAATTCAACAATTTCTGGAAAATCGATAAATTAATTCAAAAAGTACAAAAAATCAATTAGGCCGAGGAAAAAAAGAAAAAAAAATTTAAAAGAATATATACATACATTACGGTAACACGAGTTCAGAAGTGTGGGGCCTCCCGTAAATCGTTTGAAGAGTTGTCTCTGCTCGTCTGCCGTCTCTTCTCAATTCCACTTCTCTCGCTCAATTTATTTTTCATTTTTTTTGAAAATATTCGTCTAAATTATCCGTTTCTCTGCGGATTTCTTATTTTTAAGGTTTAAAGATATTATTCATGTGTGTTATAACCAGTTTTCGTCATACTTTTCGCTTTTAATCGTTCTATTTTACTCTGGCAATCTGAAATTATTAAGTTTTTTCATGTCTATTCTTTCAGAATGTCTGGAGTTGGATCGATTGTCTACAACGCCGTTTCGCGACGATTCTCCACCGTCCTCTTGGCGTCAGTTGTTGGAGCTTACGTCTTCAACTATTCCTTGGACGGAGTCACCAACTACTATTGGGATACGGTGAGAATTTCCAACATACCCTTCATTTCTAAATTGACTGATAAGACCTTCGAAAAGTTCCCAAGAAGATCTCTCAGCTACTATTTCATGTCATTTTATATTATATTAAACTGTATATCCGTGATTTTTCAAACTTAAGCTGATAATTTTAATTAAGAGACAAATGAATTTTAAAGGATCGTTGGTCCGTCTTTTTTAGATCTGATTTCATATGTTATTCCAAAACACAAATTTGAATTGGTGGTTTACGCAAAGAAAATTTGTTCTCGCATTATAATTCTCATAATTTTTTCTGAAACCACATTCATGTCCCGAAAAAATGATTTTTGACATTTGTTTATCGATAAATTTGCATAATTGATCATTTTCTCTGAAATTCTTCAGATTCCTGAAACTTTGCTGGACTGTTTATAAACCGGAATCGATTATTTTGTTTTGCAGGTCAACGCCAACAAGCAATGGAAGGACGTGAAGAAGACGATTGTCCAGGAATGAAATGACGCGAATTCGCGATTTATTCGGTTCTCGAAGCGGCGTTTTCTTTCAATCTTCGATGTTTAGTTACATAGATTATTATTCTTTTTTTTTTCAAATCCGATAAATTGATTTCCGATGCCGATGCCCTTATATGTTTGTGTATGTGTGTGTGGTTATGCACTCCATCAAAAATTGTTAATATATTTCTATCGGGTTTGCGGTGGAAGGGTTTGACCTGCCAATACCGAAAAACTTGCCAAATATTGACACGAGTATTTCCGCAATTAGTAAAACCCGCCGGTCCGATCGGGGCGGTTAGAAAAGGACACCAAATATTCCATGGAAATAGTGTTGGGTGGCGCGAGAGACGGCGACGGCTCTCGTTTGGCAAGTTATTTGAAGAGCGCAGTGTCGGACCGTACCAAGCCGAGCCGGGAGACCCCCCCCCACCCTTCTGTCTCCCCGCCGGTCGCTTCGACACTAAACAGTATCCTCTGACCGCCCTATCGACCGACGCAGCGCACAAGTACACGTCAGCAGTTTTCGTTATTCAGGCGCAATGCTGCCGACAACCGTCAAGCTTTATCTGCTGCCGCTTCTGCTGCTGCTCGCGACATCGTTTCGTCACGTCGCCTCGTCCGACGACGAGCTCAATTATGAGCTCGACGAGGGCGTCGTCGTGCTCACCGACAAGAATTTCGACGAGTTTTTGAAGCGCAATCCGACGACGCTGGTCAAATTCTATGCGCCTTGGTTGGTGTTTGTCGATTCGAATAATTATTCTCATTGAAATGAAATTAACGCGTAAAATTGGCTAATTCAAAACGACAAATTAAGGACAGGTCTCGGCGCGCCGCGTGCGCCTTTAACCTCGTAAATCTACACTTAGTTTTTTTTTTCAAGACCACTTTTTATTGGAATTTGGCCAATTTTCCGTAGTCGCACGACTTCGACAATAGTCATTTTTGATCTACGAAAAGCTCATGCGCCTTTAAATTGCAGGTGTGGACACTGTAAACAATTGGCGCCCGAATACGAGAAGGCGGCTGGAAAAGTGTCGGTTCCGCTGGCGAAAGTTGACGCGACCGTCGAAACCGAGCTCGGAAAACGATTCGAGATCCAAGGGTATCCGACATTGAAATTCTGGAAGGACGGACAAGGTCCCACCGATTATGATGGTCCGAGAGATGAAGCTGGTAATTTTTTTTTGAGAAAATTGCTGGAATTTTGAAAATAATTTGTTTTTTTTAATAGGAATCGTCGAATGGGTCGAATCGCGCGTCGATCCGAACTACAAGCCGCCGCCCGAGGAGGTCGTGACGCTGACGGCGGAGAACTTTGACGATTTCATTGGGACCAACGAGCTCGTGCTCGTCGAGTTCTATGCTCCATGGTGTGGGCATTGCAAGAAATTGGCGCCCGAATTCGAGAAGGCTGCCAAGACGCTCAAATCGAAAGGAAGCAAAATCAAACTCGGAAAAGTCGACGCGACGGTTGAGAAGGACCTGGGAACCAAATATGGAGTTAGTGGCTATCCGACGCTGAAGGTTATTCGCAATGGAAGACGGTGAGTTGCATTTTTTTTCGTGATTTTAGAAAGAAATGAGATTTTGAAAAGCAAAACAAAGGGGCAACTTCAGATTCGAGTATAATGGTCCGCGCGAGGCGAAGGGAATCGTGCACTACATGCTGGAACAATCGAAGCCGGCGGCGAAGAAGCTCGAGAAGCTGCGCGACGTCGAGCGTTTCATGAGCAAAGACGACGTGACGATCGTCGGCTTCTTCGCCACCGAGGACTCGAGCGCGTTCGAGGCGTTCGCCGACGCCGCCGAGATGCTGCGCGAGGAGTTCAAAACGATGGGACACACGTCGGACGCGGCGGCGTTCAAAAAGTTTGACGCGAAACCCAACGACATCATCATCTTCTATCCGTCGCTGTTCCACAGCAAATTCGAGCCGAAGAGCCGCACGTACAACAAAGCGTCGGCGACGTCGGAAGACCTGCTCGCGTTCTTCCGCGAGCACTCGGCGCCGTTGGTCGGCAAAATGACGAAGGCGAACGCGGCGACGCGATACACGAAGAAGCCGCTGGTCGTCGTCTATTACAATGCCGATTTTTCGCTTCAATATCGCGAGGGAAGCGAGTTTTGGCGTCAAAAAGTGCTCAATGTTGCTCAAAAGGTGATTTTTGAGATTTCTAACGTAAAAATTTCAATTTTCGGCTGAAAATTTGAGATTTTTGGCTGTTGGCAAAATCTCAAAAGCCCAAAAAAAGACGAATCTAACGATTTTCGTCGTTTCAGTACCAGAAAGACAAATATCGCTTCGCGGTGGCCGATGAGGAGGAGTTCGCCAAAGAGCTCGAGGAGCTCGGACTCGGCGATTCGGGACTCGAGCACAACGTGGTGGTGTTCGGCTACGACGGCAAAAAGTACCCGATGGATCCGGAGGAGTTCGACGGCGATCTCGACGAGAACCTGGAGGCGTTCATGAAGAAGATCAGCTCGGGACGCGCGAAAGCGTTTGTGAAATCGGCGCCGCCGCCGCGCGACGACAAAGGACCCGTGCGAACCGTCGTCGGCTCGAACTTTGACAAAATCGTGAACGATGAGACGAAGGATGTGCTCATCGAGTTCTACGCTCCGTGGTGTGGCCATTGCAAGGTAAGAGGAATCGGAAATTTTTAGAGAGAAAAAAAAGGACGCAATATGAATGATCGATTTATAGAATTTCGAGCCGAAATACAAAGAATTGGCGGCGAAATTGAAAAAAACCCAACCGAATTTGGTGTTGGCCAAAATGGACGCGACCGTCAATGATGCGCCGAGCCAGTTTGCCGTGGAAGGATTTCCGACTATCTATTTTGCGCCGAGCGGCAAGAAGGTAGGTTGGCGATTTTTAAAGCCATGTCTTTTTTTTTAATCAAGCCAAAATTGCGATTTTTTGGCCCCAGAAATTGAGAGCTTTTTTTTGAATAATTAAATGATTGATTGTTTTCGAAGTATATAGCATAGTAATTTATAGTAAAATTGGAGGAATTTTCGAAAAGAGTATTACTGGATTATTTTGGGTCTTGAATGGAATTCTCTATTTTAACTGGAATTTTTGATTCTTAATTTGAAATTTTCGAATGCTCTAGAGATTTAAAATGAATTTCATGGGTCTCTTGAAGTGAAATCTCAGTTTTCCAAAAACGAACTTGAAAATTTTTGCAAATTAAAAGAAAAATAAAAAAAATTATGATTATTGCAGTCGGAACCCATCAAATACAACGGCAATCGCGATTTGGACCATCTGACGAAATTCATGAAGGACAACGCGGTGAAATCGTTCCAGGCCGGCAAAGACGAGCTCTAAAATGTCCAATTTTCTCCGATTTGTTTTTTTTTGCTTCTGCTGCTCTCGAATTTTACGTGTACTATTTTAATTTATAAAGACACTGTCGATTTCATTTTTGTTCGCGCGCTTCGAGACCCCCGAGTCGCTATTTGCACCCACTTGAGCTTCTCCTTGTCCGTCGTTTCGACAGCTCACCGAGATTTGTCTGTTTGCTCGTCTTTGCTGTTTGTGTTAATCTCCCATCCCGATTGCGTTTTAAAGGACGACTCAGTGGGCGTTGGTCTTTTTGTTTCCAGAACAGCACGGCGTCGCTTGTGCTGCGGACATCGTCGCGGGCCGCTGTTGATTTTTTGTTGGAAATTTTTGAAAATCTCGCTAAAATCCGACAAAAACAACATAATTTAACTTAAAAAGTGCAAATCAGAAGAAAGAAAAAAAGGATGTGTGCAATCACGCCGTCACGAACTCTGCGGACTTGCATTTTAATCGACGCGCAAAAATTGAAATTCAAGCAGTTTCTGACCAGAATTTCCCCCTTTGAATTTCGTAATGCCTCGTCGTCCAATCAAGTTACATATGCGATTCGAATCGCCCACCACATTCTTACACTAAAACGTTCCAACATATTGGCGGCGTCAATAAATCGAATGCGTCTCTGGCGAGCATTACACATTAAAATCCAGCTCACATCATTCTTTCTGAGGCAAAAGCAGACCGATATATAAATAGAAAGCAACAAAATCACTATTGCGTCGCCGGTTCTTTTTTTCCATCGTCTCGCCGCCGCCGACAGCCAACGAAGATTCGCGAACAACAATTACTACTACGATAAACACGTGGTCTCACTGATCACAAATCCAATCAACAACAACACTTTGGAATGCGCCTTTAATTATGACCTGAAACTGAAAATTATTTGGCTGCGTATCAGGCCCGTATTCGTCAAAGGCGCATACCTTAAAATATTGCTAATTTCACGTCAAGACTCAAAACCGAATTTTGAAAAATTCGGAAGATTATTCAACTATCAAAAACCGATTGACGGAATGCTTAATGCTCCTTTAAGTTGGGTCCCGAAGAGCACCCTTTTTGCTGATGATGCGCCTTTAACAAAAAAGGCTTTTCCAATTTTCTCGAATCTTCTGAAACATTCCCCCAAAAGATTGGCTTCTATTAAACAATCGCTCGTCATCTGCGTCTCGGAAAGATTTGAAAAAGAAAAATGGGCGGGGTCGAAGCTCGCGAGAGCTCAGAGCGAAAGACACTTGAAACTGTTGGCTCGGCACACACACACACACAAAACGCGACCGTTTCAAAACCCCGCATTTTCTCTTATTTTTCCCATCAATTGTTCCAACCCCAAAAAAAGAATAGCTTGATCATCGTTGTAGAATGTCGTCGATCGAGATCACCTCGGACGCCGCCGCCACCTGGGACTGGCCGCTTCAGCACAACGACGGCGTCGTCAAGGTGCACAACACCAATGACAAATTCGAGGTCGGACTCGACGTGCAATTCTTCACGCCCAAAGAGATCGACGTGAAAGTCTCCGGACAAGAGTTGCTCATTCATTGCCGTCACGAGGTTCGTCTTTTCTTTTTCTTTTCGGCGTCGACCTCAACACCATCACGCGACATTTCTAGACGCGCTCCGATTCGCATGGAACCGTCGCGCGCGAGATCAATCGCGCCTACAAGCTTCCCGACGACGTCGACGTCGCCACCGTCAAATCGCATCTCGGAACTCGCGGCGTTCTCACCATCACCGCCGCCAAGAAGGCTTAAATGTCTTTCAGCCAGAAAAGAAACAAAAAAAACGAAGCAATTCTTTTTTGTTTTCTCATCAGGGCCCCAATTTCGACATTTTACCCCCCTCGCCATTCACTTATATTCGCAATTATTCGTTTTATAAATAAATGCTTCTTACTATCATCGAAATACACATTCATATAAGACGACTAGACTTCTAAATACACGACAATTTCCATTAATGGCAATCTATAAAAATGAAAATAATGACGAGAAAAACAAAATTACGCAATTTCAACTAAATAGCTGCATGAGTGCTCGAATAATGTAATGGCATGTGCCGTACTCGCCAGCCGGCGCCGAATCGTAGAAATGTTTGCAGATTCCGCGGGCGCCGTCGCATCTCGTGTGATTCGGATTCGACGACGCGCAACATTCCATCACTATCGTCTCCATTTGCTTCTGCAATGTTAAATGCTCGCTATTTGCTGCGGACAACATTCCGGTTTTAGCTAGAAACACTGAAATGAGTTCAGTCGGTTCGCAAAAAGAGAGAATTGCTCAAAGAAGCGCTAAAATTGATTGATTTTCATATCAAAAATCGATTTTTCCTTTTTTTTTTAGTTCACACTTCGGACCAATTTCATATTCTTAGCAATTCGCTGCTTCGGACAACCTCGTAGGCCCAGAATTTTGCTCCCCCCCCCCCACAATTCCAAAGAAAATTTCTAACATTGTGCTCGACGAATATCTGATTTGCCAAATGAAGCACCGCATCGACATCGAGCGGACGATCTCTCGGCACATTCGGCTGCTCCATGAGCACAAGCTTCTCAAGTCGTCCAATAAGCCATAGAGCTTCAATAACCTAGAATATGGCATAATTGCAATTTATTCCAGAAATCCGCCAATTCTCAACTCACCAATTCTCGATATTCGGGCTCGACGATTCGATTGAGAGCTTCTTCAACCTCCAGCGCGAATTTGATTTCGCGTCTCGTCATTTCCAGCGTCAATCCCCAATGCAAAACCGTATCGTTGATTTTGATCCCGTGCGGCATTTTATGGACAGTATCCCAGAGAATCTGCAATTGGTTTTTTTTTTGGAGGTTGTTGCTCAATTCGCAATCGTCTCTCGTCTCACCGCATAGAAATTGTGCGGCACTCGATTGAGCGCGCCGTCAATTCGACGATGCCTCAGCCAAATGCCGAACTGAAAATCATCCTCGTCCGCCTCCTCCTCCTCTTCCTCCTCTTTCGGCACCGCCATACGGCCGCTTCCGACGCTGCGCGTCGATTTGCGCAACGATTTGCGCTCCTCGATTTGCCGCCTAAACGAACCGATGCCCGTTCGGGTGTCGCGCGCCGCGTCGCCGTGATGGAATCCATCGTCGGCGTATTCCTCCAACAATCGGCCCGAGAGCAACGAGAACAGCATCGATTTCAGCTCGAACGGGCTCACCGTCAACAATTTGTCGGCGGCTTCCGTTGGCGACATGTTGCGAAGGCGCGCCATTTCAGAAGCGAGAACCTGAAAACAAAAAAAAAACACATCAAAGCGTTTGCCATCCTCCTCGACAATGCTTCTACCTGAATAATCAATCCAATTCGTAGTCGGAACATTTCCACAAACAATTTAGGCTCGGTTCGGACCAGCGATCCAAGAGATACAATAATTTCCTGAACAATTAGCAAATTTTTCACAAAAATTCGAACCCCCCGAAAACAAACCTGCGAAAGTGTAAACGAATTCGCATCATCGCCATACGCTCGATTCATTATCTTCTCCAGCTCTTCATTCGTCTTCGGGCACGTGATGACCTCCTCCTTTTTCGATACCATTCCAAGCTGAATATCATTGCAATAGTAGATGATCTATGATAAAATCTACCGTTATTTGTTTTTGTCGCACTAGCAGATGAGTGACCGCTTTGCTAAGCTCCTCGAGCTGCTTCTTCAACAATCCAGCGCTTAAACGAACAAGCGCCCATTCTCTCGCATCACACGCTTTCGCGTAAATCTCCTCCATGAGCACTCTCACCGTAATATGTTGGTCCGCAAGTTCGGTATCATAATCGGGACCACTAAAATCACAATTTTCATTTTTTTTCCCACCCACAATATTTCGGCCTACAAATTCATCCAGAGGCAATGAATAATCGAGGCTTGCTCTTCAAGTACAGTGGTCTCGACAAGAAGATCGAGAAGATCGTCGGCCTTCATTTCATTCATTTCCGCCTTTTTCAAGTCGCGACGTCTGAAATTGCTCAAATTATACCCCATTTGAGCGCAATTTTCCTCCCAAACATTGTCTCATTTTCAGCGCCGCGCTTCGCTGTTTTCAGCAGCGGATGTCTTGATCCTGACGGGCTATGCTCTCTGACGAGCTCCAAATTGTGCGGCAATCCTCGCGGTGACGTGTCCTCTTGTTCTTCGATGGTTCTCGATTTATAAGCGAGGCGGAGTTGGATAAGGTCTAAAAAATTTAATTTAAAAAAAAATTGAGACGAAAATTACAGTAACACGTTTAAAGGCGCACTGGCTATGATGGAATGGGTCTCGCCACCGCGATGGGTGTATGTATTAAAAAATGTTTAAAATTTTCATTTTCATTCAATTTTTGTCGAAGTTTAATTATTTTTTAATGTATTTTTCAATGTTTTCGATTTTTGATTAATTTTTCATCGAAAAATATATTATTTTGAAGCAATTTTAGGCGTTTTTAATAAACAATTAATTTTTTCAGTGCGTTCCCCTACCGGCATCATTGCTATCCAAAGCAATCGATCGATGCCTCATCGAGGCTTTATGGATTTTCGAGTAGGCGCTTCGATCTTTGACAGATTCGCCACGACGCAACGGGGGTCCGCCGCGCGGTGAAGCCGTCGGGCCAACTAAAATTCAAAAAAAAAAAACATTTTCAAAAACAACAAAAATCATTTCGCACTCTTATTCTCGTCCGATTTGTCCGACGTGTGAAGTGTGAATTGCACTTTTTCCGACGTCACACTTCTCAGCATCTCCTCAGCGCTCTTGTCGCGAAACTCCATTTTGCTGACGGCGGTGGTACGAAAGAATTCCGACAAGTCTTTCATGACGACACGCGCGCCGCTCAAATAGCCCGTGTTGATTTTCTTGATCGCACCGATCACCGTCGATTTCATGTGGCGATTCAAATGGATGTTCGAGAAATGCGATAGACCTTCCTACAACAACAAGAGAGATTGAATTCAGTTTCCAAAAACACAAATCCCTACTGTCGACAGCATTCCTTGTGTGACAACGAGAACGACAAGCGGCCGCCCGCTGATGCTCACACTATTCCATGACGCGTAAATGTATTGCAGCTCGCTGCTCCATTCATCCGTCAGAATGCGAATGTCATACATCAAGTGCGATCGTCGGCTATCCATGAATTGCGGTGTGAATATCACAAACTTGTTCCCAATTTGGTAAAGGCGACTGGTGCTCAATAGTCCTATCGGACGATCCAGCGGTCGGCCAGACAAATTGAGCTTCTTCGATTCGCCGATTCTGAAAAACGTTCATCGATGCCTCAAAAAAAAAGCCATTGGCTCAAATTTTCGCACTTGGCTAACAAATGGCCCAACGCCGACGCCGGCAATATCGTGAACACCGGATCAATCTCATCGACGCGCTGCACAAAAATGTCATGGGCTCGGAGTTCGCGTTGAACGTCGGCCGATTCGGCGAGCACCGTCACCTGAACCTCGCACGGCGGCCGCTTCTCATAGACCGACAATCGCCGACTCAACGGGTCAAGCTCCGCGGGACTCAAAAATCCCTCATAGAGCAGACTGCAGATCACATAAAGGCTTTGAGCCCAGAGAAACGGTCTGAAAATTGAGAAATAATTCTCAAAAAAAAAAAAAGAGTTGAAGCTCACGTAGCACCACCAGGATATCTCGTCTGCGTGCCGTGTTGCGCCTTCTCGGCGGCAACATTCTCCCTAGCCACCACATAGAGTTCCGGCACGAGTCGAAAGCCCTCATCGCTGAGCACAAGCACCTTCTCCAATTGTTGCCAATACTCCTCGACGGCTTCATCGTCCTTCGAATACATCGCGTCAAGAATGAGATAGCAAAAAAACAGCGGCCACTCGCTCTCGATATTCTCAAATTGTTGAAGTTCGCTCTTGTTGTAGTACAATCGCGACGAATCCTCCAAAGCGGTCTTGTAGCCGTCGCGCATGAATCGTCGACAACCGTAGCGGCCCAAAAGCTGATTCGCAATTGTCTCACGCGTGCTGGCGACAAGTTCCGGGTCTTCGACGCTAAACGCCGGATAACTGATGATGCCGAGAAGGGCGCCGTCGGTCTCCTGAAAGAACAAAAAAATAACATTATTCTATCCTCAGATGCCACCTTGCTGAACGATTCTCTGGGAAGCATGCTTGAAAGCACCGCTGAGCATTGCTCAATTTCGTCGGGAAGCACATGGACCACTGATCCGCGCGAGCCGTCGACGAACAAATCGCCAACATCGTTGAGCGCTTGAAGTGCCGCCTTCACCATTCCAATGGAAGTGGCGTTCAGCTCGCGGATTCCCTGATTCGTCTTGTCGCCTCGCTCCCAAACCCCAAAATCGGGTGTGCGATAGCCGGTCTCGATGTAATAGACGAGATTCTGAATGAATGCGACCTCGTCGAAATTTCGGACGACTTGAAGGCCGGAGGCGGTGATTTGGGCCAACGTGAGCAGAAAAAGCGAGGTGGCGTCGATTTGCAAATGTCCCCATTCGGCGTCGCCGCAAACCGTCGCCTTCGTCGCCACATTGTATTTTGAATGAAGCGCGTCGAGTGGTCGTTGGTATTTTTTGAACAGCTCAACCTTTTCCGCCTGCCTCATCATACATTCCATTATTGATTGCATCATTTTTACACTATAATTCGATAAAATTTCGTGAATCGTTTACATCTTCATACCATGTCAATCCGAGCTCTTTGGCCTTGGTAAGGTCTTCATCGAAATCAGCGCATTTCATGTAAGCCCGATAGAGAGCCCAAAGGGCTTGCGCTATATATACATTGTCGCGAACCCACGCGTGTCCTGGAACCCTCAAATGATTTTCTTCGAAAAAAAAAGTTTCTGTTGCTCTTGCCTGGAAAATCCTTCTGATTCGCGAACAGGGCCGTGATCGCATTCTGATGTGTGCATATCGTCTGCTCCACCATGAACAAAATGCGGTCAAGTCGGACCCCGGACCCGCTGCGGGACCGCATTCTTGGATCTAGAAAGTCTCGGATTAAAATCGATAATTTTCAATGAGAAATTGTCGTAAAAAATGATTGCCTCGGGAAAAAAATAGAGAAAAATCCGAAAACGCGTCAATCGAATGACACTGGCGCATTTCTCGAGACGATGATTTCCAATAGACGAGATTTGCGTCAATGCTCTTTAACGCTGGCGCGATTTTCGACGCTAATCGCAAGCCACGGAATTAATTCGATTTTTCGTGCTCTCGCGTCAAGCCGACGCGCGTTTAGCTCAGGCTCCGATTAAAATTACATAGCAACCACTTACAATTCGTGTATAGCGGGCTTTCTTTTTGTCAAACCTCACGTAGAAACCCAATTGTATTTATTCGTTTCTTCCAGCAAACAGAATGACAGATTATATGGCTCAAATGCTCAATGAGCTAATGGGTTCGCAGCGCAACGCGCTTCCCGGCGAGCGTAAAGAAGTGCGTTTCGATGATCCCGATGTGTGCACCGATTTTCTCGTTGGTTTCTGCACTCATGAATTGTTTAGAAACACAAAAAATGATCTAGGCTATTGTCGATACGTGAGCAATTAATTAATTAGCTAATTATAACAATTGAATGCGGATTTCAGCCAGTGCACGACGAAAACATGAAAAAGCAATACCAAGAAAGCGAGGAGAAATATCGATTAAAATTCGAGGAGCGATTTCTGGAGCGCATTCGTCGGATTCATGACGACGTGCAGAGGAAAATCACCAAACACCAAGAGCGATTGCTTCTAACTCAAGGTAATTAGGCTAATTATCGACGAATTGTGGTATAATTAAATCGCAGGCGACACGAGCCAAGCTGAAGAGGTGTTTCAACGAAAACTTGCGGAAATCTCCGATCGACGCGAGCAAATCAATAAAAGAATCGAGAATTTAATGGAAGAAGCCCAATTAGAAGGCGAGAAGGGCAATGTGCAAGCGGCGCAGGCGGCAGTGGAGAAGGCCGATCGAGCAAAAGCGGATCGCGATGAGCTGGATGAGGAAGAAGCTAAGATACTCGATGAGAAGGCGAGAGCGATATCGATGGAGGAGAATGTCACCCAAGGGAGTCGGCAGATGTCAGTATGTCAGGTACCTTAATAATTGAGGGGAATCCATTTTTAAAGGCGCATGTTCAGGTTTGTGGTTGTTTTATGCTTCAAAACGACGCTCCTCAACGGATCGATGATCATTTAAGCGGCAAATTACATCTCGCCTATCAAACAATCGCGGAGACCATCACCAAAATGGAGGAGGTAATTAGTGGCATAATTAATTAATTAATTTTTTTGGAACGCGGTTGATTTTTAGGCGATTCGCGAGAAGCATTCGAGAAGGAAAACCGACGGCGATGAGAAGAGGAAAGATCGGAAGCGCGAGAATGAGAGGAAACGGTGAGACAAATTAATTATTTTGTATTCTGATGATTCATTTTGGTTTAGGTCGCGAAGTCGCGATCGGAATCGAGACAATCGGAGGTATGATCGAGATCGGAGGGATCGCGATCGATATCGGGATGATAAAAAGCGAAGGGTGAGATTTTGGATGAATTTCGCGCAAACTGTTATAATTCAACAAAAAAAAACGACTTTGTTGCATTGAAATTGCAAAAATTCGCGTATAAATTTATAGGATGCGACTAGAATTACAGTAATAGCAAATTCAAGTCATTTTATTCAAGTTTTTGTGGCTTTAAGTCTCGAGCGGATTGAAATCTATCGGACATGCACCTTTAAAATAATTCGAAAAGCTAAAAATTCCCTTCTATTATCTTTTTTGGGGAAAAAATTTAAATTAAATGAAGGGGCAAAGTGATTGTTACCGTATCGCGATTAAAGGACCATGACATTTATTTGTCGGAATTCTTGAAGCAAAAATTATAAAAACTACCAATTTTAATGAAAAATGATAATTTTTTATTTTCAGCGCTACTAGTCATTGAAATCAATCTGAAATAAGCAACGCTTTTAATTCAAACCGACCTGTTGTGTTTTATTCGAATATAAAGTACGTTTCCTCTTGCCATATGCAGGTTAGTTTCAAGTTTTATTGTCAATTGTCGAATCCGACCGAAAATCCGATACCGCCCGCCGCACTGGAATTCGGAAGACGATCGCAACGGTTTGCCAGACCAGACCAGTTAGTTCCAATTTTTCTCAAAATTTAATTGCGCGATTTTCTGAAAGAAGTGCAATTTTGAGGATTTAATCGAATTTCTCGATTTCAGGGATCTACTAATCGCACGATTTGGACATTTCAGTGTTAGTTTGTCATTTTTTACACAATTTGATATCTTACGACAATTTTAATAAATAATTAACCTTTAATTGTCATATAATTAGTGAATTGAAGTCGGTTGTTGAGCAAGTGCGCTCTGTTGCGAATTTTGCCGAGCCGCGGATTTGAATTGGTTTTTGAATTTTTTATTTCATTGGTCGCAAATGACCGAGGGAATCGTTTTTCATAGAGGTTTGAAGCTTGAATTAACGTCGGATGTAATTAATGAAGCGCTGGAATTTCCGGAGGAGTTTGATTTCAATGATAAGTAAGTTTTTATTTTCGAAAAATTGTATTTTAGAAAACGATTTTAAGGCTTTTTTTGAAATCTGAAGGGCAAGAAAATCTACAATTTGTGTGTGAAACAATAAAAAATTAAATATTTCTAAATTCATTTGAAGTATTTAAGACTATATCGGGAATTTAAATACTCAAAAATTTAAGAAAGGTTGGAAAAAAACTACTTTTGAAATCAGCAATTGAAAATTTAATTTTTCTTTAGCAAATTCATAAAGAAGGCCGATTTCCTTGTTATGCCAATCTTTGCAGAAGCGCAATTCACTACACGAAAGAGTTCATCAGAGACGTGACGGGATTCGAGGAAAAAGTCGAGCTCGCCACAAAATTAATTTACGATGAGTCAACTCAGTCAATCGCCGAGTATTTGGAGCTCGACGAGGTGGCGTCGGGCTCAAATCTGCCGATTTCGGTGTTTTGTCCGACCGAGACGTTCGGAAGACTGCGCACGGCGTTGGTGCAGTGCAATTTCACAGACATTTCGCGTTTTATTCGTGATCTGCACGCGAAATTGGTCAAAAATCGTCGACAAGTCGATGACGACGAGGAGATCGTCAGCACTCAGGTGACGATCGTCGGATCCAACGATCCGATCCATACGATCATCGACAGAATTCGCGATTCGGTGAGTCGCGCGGCATCCACTCAAATCGAATTGTTGCTTCAATAGAAAATGTCGCGAAACGTGATCATCGTGCAACAGTTCGAATCGCTTCAACAAGCAACTCTCGACGCGATCATCGGATTGCTCTACTCGAACGAGACGATTCGCAAGAAGATCGACACCGTCCGATTGGTGGTTTGCGTTTCGACGTCGTTCGCGTTCTTCGACACCAACTGCACAATCGATTCGATCAATTTGTTGAGCGTTCGACAATTCAAGGTGATCGGGTGCGATGCTTCGCTACGAGACCCATAGGCGGCCATTTGAAATTCTATTAATCTCTGGTAACTTGTCGAAATTGTCGAATCCGATTAGTTTTTTTTTGGGTATTTTCGAATACGATTGGTAATTTGTCAGATCCGATTAGATTTTCTTCGAATCCGTTTTGTTTTAATATTTCAATTCGAGTCGGATTCGACAAGTAATCAAACTTTTCCGTAGAATTACCAATCGTATTCGAAAATACCCAAAAAACGAATCGGATTCGACAATTTTCCAATCTTATTCGTAGAATTTCCAATCGGATAAGGTTAATTCTAGAGCGGAATTTTGTCGAATCCGATTGGTTTTGAGTTACCAGAGATGTTCAGATTTCGTGGAAAAAAATAGTTTTTGAATTTTTCGCATATTACAATCTGAAATCTCTTAACCATGTCGTTTTTTTTTAAATATAATTGCTGATGGTTTGCAGTTCACGCGTCTCGACGAGATTTTCGAATCGATCGTGACGACCGACATCGCGCCGGCCATCTTCTCGGGACCATTCTTGAACTATCTCCACAATCGCTTCTTCAATTGCGACTATTCGGTGTCGGCGCTGATCAAAGCGGTCCAATTCGCGTTCTTGGCGAAATATTTGCAAGATCCGCTGTGGAAAATGGTAATCAAATTTTTTTTGCTTGCCTTACGGTAGGATCGAAGTCCGCAATCAGTCAATATTACGCGAAAAAGAACACATTTTCGAAATCTTCAAAATCCAATGAATTCCGTCTTCCGTTTTTCGGATTTCAAATTTTTTTTTAGAAAATTCAAAGTGTTGTGCAGCTTTTTTTTTGAAATCGTTTATAATTTGAAGCTAACTAGAGAATAGACCGTGTTTTTTTTTCAGGATAACACCGATCATAGTCGACAAATTGAAAACTACGAGTTATTGCTGAAATTTGTCAACGACGAGATTTTTGTCGACAAATCGCTTCGCGACTTGCACGTCGCGATTCAAACAGACGCCGATTTTTGGAAGAACTCGGAAAATTCGATAGAGTTTAGGCAAGAAGAAATCGTTTTTTTCAACAAAAAAAAATTTGTTTTTGCGATATTGAAGGAATTGGAAGCGATTCCAATTCGAGACGCGCAATCTCGTCAATTTTGAGCAATTTTTGACGAGACTTGAGAGAATTTCGCCGAAAATTGAATCGACGTTCGACGAGAAGCTCAAAACGCTTATGAAGAATGTGGAGGCGGCGGTTGAGGTTTGAGAAGAAATATTTGTGATGAGTCGTTGATATTTTTCCAGACGGAGAACACGGAGGCGACGACGACGACGCAGCGATCGCCGTTGAAGACGCCGAGAAAGAGTATGACGTTTTTGGAGATGCAGAGACAGCGGCACGCCGAGATGGCGAAGAAGCACAACAATTCGCTGATGAGCGCGAAACTCGAGGTGTTCAAAGCGATTTTGGTAAGAATCGACTAAATCGAAGGCGATTGTAAAAACGGCGTGTCGCTTGAGATGCGCCTTTAATTCGGGTTTCGAAACGCCTCGGCTAAATTGAAGGCGTTTGTGAAGTCGGAGGGTCGTTTGAGACGCGTCTTTAAACTAGAATAGATCGAATTTCGATGTTCTTTTTCGTTTAATTGTTTCCCCCCTGTAGGAATTCTTCAAAAAACACCTACGACCGTATCCGTCGACGTGGCGCAACGTGATTGGCGGCGATCATTTTGCGAGCGAACTGACGACGACGGGTCTCGACGCGAACGACGAGATTGACATTGAGCGAGCGCTTCTCGTCGACGAGAAATTCAAGAACGAGCCGATCGCCATCGCGTGGAAATGCCTTTTAAGGCAGAATCAATTCAAAAGTGTCAAAATTGAAGTGTGGGCTCAGGAATTTATGAAGAAGGTTGATTTTTTGGGGTCTCGACGCGAAATTCATTGGGGTTTTTTTTTCAGTTTAAATCGAAAAACGAAGCGTCGGATGCGTTTTTCGCCGCTGCCGGCCAATTGGAGCATATGGGATTGATACGAGCTGGCGCTGATCGGAAATCGACAAAGGTTCACATTTTGTACCATCCGATCTCATTTGAGCCGAATTTGTGAATATTGTGACGACATGAAGAATTCTGTACAGTTTTTTCTAAAAAAAAATTCTAATTATCTTTTTTTTCAATTTTCTTTAGTGAAATTTTGGGAACGCAATGCGACCGCGACGCGCATATTGCAATCGCGCTCCGTAGAGAGAATACAAATATACAATTTTATGAGTAAATGCTATGAAATATTGCAATGAAAAAAGAAACGATGAAAACTGAAATAGTGAGTGTGGAGAAATTCCTACAAGAAAAACAAATTATAAATATGTGTAAATATATATATTAAGAGGGGGAAGGGGTCTGATCACAATTTTAATGGAACAACTGAAACAATTGATTTGAGCGGCACTGGCGATTTTAGAAAAATTACGAAACGAAAATACAATGGAAAATTTTGACAGAAACATTTTTCAAAAAAAAAAGTTGAGGAGTTTGAGGATAAAGCTCGAAACTTGATGATTTGGATGGGCAACTAGACAAAATGACATCACAAGGCTTTCAAGGGTCACAACAATCAATTAAAAGGGTCCCGAAAATTCTCTTATTAATTAAGCTAGTATGGATTGAATCTCGTGTTCGCTGAGCTCGATGACGACTTCTGATGGTGAAGCGGCCCGGCTTGCTGCTGGCCGTTGGTGATCGTCGGCGGAGTTGGTCCGCCTTTGATGAATGGCGCGCCGATTAGCATACTGTAACAATCGTTTGTGAAAACAGTAGGTTGCATTTTTTGGCGTTTTAATTTTCAATGTTGGAAATTCAAGTCCCGCTACTTTAGATTTTAAAGGTACATGGTTGGGGGGGGGGGAACCCCTTATAACATTAAGCAGCAAAAAAACAGTTTTCAAAAATTTGTATAGGCAAATAGTCTTTTCGTCATAATTCAAAAAAATTTTACTTACTTCTGACTCATCGCATACTGATTCATTAATTGCTGTTGTTGCTGAAACGCGGCAACATCATAGGCGCTCCATTGCTGCTCAATGTGCTTGGCAGCGTCCGGCTGCTGCTGCTGCTGTTGCTGGGCGGCAGCGGCAACCGCCGCCGCTGCAGCCGCCTGATACATGAGTCCGTTCTGGCTCAAGTAGGCGAGCTCTGCAATCAAGCGTTGGAAATGTTGAAACGAAAAATTGCAACAAAAAAAATAATATCCCCCAAATTTTCCTCAAAAACCTTGCCCGGTTAGTAAAAACTCGACAGTTGTGTGTGTTTTTTTTTTGTTGGTTTAAACGGGACTCGACATGTACAAAGAAGAAGAAGTTTTCAAGCCAATCGGTTGAGAGAAAAAAAAAGAGAACAAAAGAAATAAAAACCGGCGGGTGTGTGTGCGCTACAGTAATCACTTGGAATTGTGTGGGAGAGCGCGAGAGGAGCAGAGAAAAAAAAAAGAAACGAACCAAGGATTACTGTAAGTAACAGAGAGAGAAAGAGAGAGAGAGAGAGATTCGTGGAGAAGTTGATCGAAAAACGAACCTTGCTGATTGGTAGCGGCCGCCGCTGTCGTCGTTGTCGCGCCGCTGCCGCTGCCGGCGGCGGCTGTCGTCGGCATCATGGCGAACTGCTGGTTGATGAGCGCGGCGCGCGCCAGCTACAAATAAAAGACACAGGCTCTAAGTCATATACCGGGTAATATTTGGTGACAGTAGGGTGGGTGATGAGGGGCGCAGGGAGGGGGTCACTTCTTTTTTTTTTCCCGCAGGGGGGAGGGGGTCCGAATTTTCGATGGGGGGTCCGATGATTGGATATTTTTTTTCGATTTTTCAGCGATTTATTTTTTTTTTTGTAGAAAATCAAAATTCTACAAAAAAATCTTACAATTTTTTTCGCCATAATTTTGAAAAATTTTTCAATTCTCTAAATTTTTGCTCAATTTTTTTTTAAATTTTAAAACTTATATATTGTTTTGTGGAAATTTCGATTTTAGCAATTTTCGCATAAAATTTTGCGTCTAGAATATGATAATTGACATTTTTTTAAAATCATTCTAGCAAGATTTCAGCGATTATCTGCAAATTTGAATGTTTTTCTTGTAAAAAAACTTCAAAAATCAACTGTTTTAAGCAAAAAATATAAAAAATCTACAATTTTCATAGCGAAAAAAATTTGAAAATCAAATTTTGTCGAAAAAATGCGATTTCCACCATCGGACAGCCAACAGTCATCACTCTTATGGTTAATTTCCACAATTTTCCCATATAAAGCCACTACAAACAAACAAGAAAATAAAAAAAGGTGTTGTGGGTCGGGGGGAGGCAGCTTCCTCATGCTCAAAAAAAGGTCTGGCCAAAAATAAGGGGTAGATCGAAAAAAAATCAATCAATCTTGCCAACTACGGTAAGTGTGAATCAAAGCGAAAAAAAATCAATCCAAAAAAATAGAGACATTGAAGGGTGGGATACCAAATGGTACGGTTTGATTAGATAGAAAGGGGTTTCTTTTCGCCATGCTTTTGCGCAATTTTCGCCAAAATATATTAATTTGTCGAAAATCTCGTACCTCTGGATTAAGCATTTGCTGGACGGCGGCCAATTGTTGCTGTTGGAGAAGTGCCAACTGCTGTTGCATCTGAAAATTGCGAAAAAAATGATTGTTTTTTAATTAGTCAGTTTCCGAAAAGAAAACGCGACTATCGGAATTAATTCAATGCTGTCAGACGCGTTGCGGTTCGCGTGCGCTCGAAATTCTCCATATATACGTGAGCCGCAACATCTAGAAGGTCTTGCAGCGAAAAAATTCTAGTAGCCGCTTTTAAAAGAAAAAAGTCAGTATTCTGACGCACAATAAACGAATATTTTTCATAGCGCCTAAATTTGATGGTCCATATCAAGAAATTTTCAAAAAAAAAATCTCAATGCAAATATAAATTGAAAATTTTAAAAATACCACCAAAACTCGAAATGCGAAAGGCGATATATTTTCTATATTTCACTTTTTGAATTTTTGTCTCGATTTATCAATTCTTGATGGTTAATAATTAGAAAAATTGAAAAAATTGATAGCGCGCATTTAAAACGATTTTTTTCAAATTGGATTTTCTTTTGACATTTTTTAAAATCTTAGACGAACTCCAAAATGGCCTTAATTGTTATAGTTTTAAAACGAGAATAATTTTTCCATGAAATAACAAAAACTTACACCGACTTGTCCGCCGCCTAACAACGCTGCGGCGGCGATCTGCTGTTGCGCTTGCGCTTGCTGCTGTTGAGCGGCAATGCTGGCCGCCGATGAGGCGATCACCAACGGATTGAACGTCGGCTTCGGACGATACGAAATTGTGGCGCCTTTCGGCGGCGCTTCGAGCAGAATATGGCACACTTGCACCATGCACAAATTGATCGCGTCGGCGTTGCCGGATATCGTCACCGCGCGTTCCGTCGACTGCGGCAGCATTTCCGAGGCGACTTGAATCGACGCGCCGGTCGCCTAAAATACAATTTGTTTCGAGCATCGAAAATTACGAAAAGAAATTGCCAAAAATAGGATTTTCTTCGAAAATCGATAAAATGTGTCGTCAGATAAAATGCACGAGTCCGCAATTTGCGTACCAATAAACCCAATATTTGACGCGCACAAGAATAAAATAAAATTTTATTCAATTAAAAAAAATATTTTCTAGCTAATTTTTGGCATTTTTTTTGCGTTTACCTCTCGAATATCCTTGATTTTGCTGCCGCCTTTGCCGATCAGACTGCCGCATTGCGTCGCCGGCACGATGAGCCGCATGGTGATCGGCGGTTTCGGCACCGAGTTCGGCAATTGAAGCATGTCGTCCTCGAATTTGGCGCACACCATTTGAAACGCCTTGGCGATCACGTTGAGTGTGCCGGTGATGGTGACGATTCGCTCAGGGCACGAGCCGTCCGATATGTTGATTTTCGCGCCCGACTCCTCGCGAATCTTTTTGATCTGATCGCCCTTCTTGCCAATGATGCTGCCGACCTCCTTAAAGGTGAAAAAATTGGAATCAGGGATCAGTGGGATTCAATTCGAATCGTACCTTGCCCTGCATCAAGAGTCGAATCGTCAGCACCGAGTGGGTCGCCGGCGAGGCGGTGGCGGTCTCACGCGGCGAACTCGACGATGACGGCTGATCGATGGTGTGATGGTGATCGGAGCTCGCGTTCGTCGGCGGCCGCGATGGCGTCGCGGCGAGATAGGCGCCTACAATCAGATACATCAATTCATTGCTGCCGACATGCCACGGGGACGCACTCACCTGCCGTCGTCGGCTTCTGGGCCGCGTAGAGGTAGGCGGCCGCTGAGACGCCTTGATACATCGCCGGATCCATACTCTGCAATTTGACGACGTCGTACACCGTCACGCGAATATGCACACAATTGATTGATTGAGGGGAAATGGAGGGGGGAGAGCGATTGATAAGCAACTATATTTCGATAGGACCATTAATGACCAATAAAAACCCTTATCAATTGGATGGTTACTGTAGTTAAAGGAGCATCGTCTTCACAAAATAATACGTGATACGCGGTGCAGCAGCAAATGTGTGTGTGTGTGTGTACTTCCAGCGGTGGGTCGCGACGACGCAGCGAAATTTGAGAACGATGGGCGTGGCCCGAGGGTCCGTTTGAGCGAAACGCGAAAGAATGTGATACCTTTGGTTTTGTGTCGACGCGTTGTCATTATTGCAATAATCGATTTTCAGAAATTCTATTTCAACATTTTTGCAATTTTTTTTTCGGCGCGAAATGAAAAATGGTCCCCAACAATGTCTTCTAGTGGCCGGACCGGACCATTTCAAATTTTGCGATCAATAGAATTTGAGATGTTGCTCAAAAAAAGCGATGTCGATGGAATCGACATTCTAGGGACCACGAAAAGACAAAATGAAGAGCGCGTTTGTCGGGGGAGGGGGGGGTCCAAAAATGGAAATAAATGCGAGCGAGCCCAAACAAACATAAGGCGCTGCCGATAAGAAGAATCAGAATCAATAGAACCTTATCAGCAGAGAGAGAGAGAGAGAGAGAGAGAGAGAGAGAGAGAGACAGTCGAATTGTACACAACTATGCATACATATAAGGTAGTGGTTGTCTATTTTTCTTTTTTTTTGGCGCGTAGCAACACCTTCGTCAAAAATTCACAAAAGCGTCGTCTCTCCGGCAGTTTGAACAAGAAAAATGCCGATCTTGAAATATTCAATGTGGGCACACAGGGGTCCTCATTGTTCGTCCTCTCTCTCTCTATCTCTCTCTCTTCCATATATTACTATGTATAGTTAGTTTTGGGAGATTGGGGGGGGGGGAAGTGTTTGATGAAGCGAGCCGGTCGCCTCTCTCATTTTTGCCTATCAGTTCGACGCGCGCGAGCCGACGTTGAGCAAATAAAACGATGGCGCGCGTTGCGCTCGGCGTTTATTGATTTAATGTGTCCGCGGGAAGGGGGGTTCGACGTGCTGTTTGTGTAGCCATAAATGGTCGCTCGCAAAATTATTGTTTTTTCTTTTTTTTCTGTTCTTCCCTCCCCCCCCTCCACAACTTGGACTCTTTTTCGAAATTGGCATCTGCCGACATTCTACAGGGTTCTCAAATCGATCTGCCGACATTCTACAGGGTTCTCAAATCGATCTGCCGACATTCTACAGGGTTCTCAAATCGATCTGCCGACATTCTACAGGGTTCTCAAATCGATCTGCCGACATTCTACAGGGTTCTGAAATCGATCTGCCGACATTCTACAGGGTTCTCAAATCGATCTGCCGACATTCTACAGGGTTCTCAAATCGATCTGCCGACATTCTACAGGGTTCTGAAATCGATCTGCCGACATTCTACAGGGTTCTCAAATCGATCTGCCGACATTCTACAGGGTTCTCAAATCGATCTGCCGACATTCTACAGGGTTCTCAAATCGATCTGCCGACATTCTACAGGGTTCTGAAATCGATCTGCCGACATTCTACAGGGTTCTCAAATCGATCTGCCGACAATCTACAGGGTTCTCAAATCGATCTGCCGACATTCTACAGGGTTCTCAAATCGATCTGCCGACATTCTACAGGGTTCTCAAATCGATCTGCCGACATACGACAGTTCTTTAATGAAACAATTGTTCGACGAAAAAGCGAGGATGATCACCTGCGGACATTCTACGTGGATGGTTGCAACCAGGTGCGGACACGCTTGCGGGTTAGGCACCTTCTATGGGGGAGGGGATCTGCGGACATTCTACAAGGTTGCTAGAAATAAATTTTTGCGTGCAACCATCTGCGGACACTCTTGCGGGTTCAACATAGGCACCTTCGATGGGGTTCAACAAAACCAATCTGCGGACAATCTTGCGGGTTTCAACAATGACGAATGAAACGAGATCGATAGAATTTCTTTTCTTCTTCGTCTTTTTTTTTTTTTGATTAATCAAAGAGGTATGTAAAGTGCTGTAGTCTCGCGTGCCTCCACGTGTAACCCGATATCGCCAAAACGCAAGAGACGGCATTCTTTTATTGTAATGAGATTGCAATAAACGCGTACGGTGTTGTTTGCGATTTAAAGGCGCATTGGGGGGGGGGGAGGGGAAGAGAAGGACACGAGAGGAAGCCGAGTTTGTTTAGACGAAGCGCAACGCAACTCGCGCAACATCTGGACGCATGTGAACACGTGCGCGACGCTTTTGGTCGAGATCGGAGGGGGTTGAAAAAAAAATTTTTTCGGGGACAGATTTGAAAATCGATGAGCCAGGGACCACAATATATTAATATATATATATAGCGAAAACTTGAGAGCAAATAAAACGAGGAAGAGAGAGAGAGGAAGGAGATTAGCATTCCAAATTTTTCTGTTGAAGACGAAGGGACCATCGCGAAAAATTTTGGGGTTGATAATTGGCTGAAACTCAATTAGGCAATTAATTACTGAATGAGTTTGGATTACGGTAGGTGGTGCGTTTTTCGAAATTGAGATTCAATTGCGACGTTTTTGTGTCGATCGAGGGCTCGCGCTAATGCGTTCCGCAAACACCGAAGCGCACAAATGCACACAGTGTACGGTAGCACGCGGAGGACGAGAGCGGAGCACAACGAGAGTGTGCTGCTATTTTTATGAGGCCCCGAGTTTTATGGCTCATAATTCGCCGAGAATATCGAATGAATGAAATTTCCAATTGATGGTCCCTAGAAGGATGTGGGTGGCGGTGAGGGACCATTCGAGTTTTTGTCTGGTGTCGCTCGAGAGAAGAAAAAAAAGTTGGGATGCGAATAGTGGATGGATGGGCCTCTGCGATTTCGCGCCGATGGAAGGCAAGAGGGACCCTGATAACTCAATTAACCAACAGAAAAGGGGCCGAGGTGGCCTCGGCCGAGAAGGGACCATCGGATAATTGTGTTGACACGAGCAAACGACGACAGCGCAAAAATGTTTGATTTTCGCCGATGGCACTTGACGGACCACAAATTGCTTTTCGCAATTTCTGTATTTAAAGGCGCGTTGAGCTTAAACACTCCAATCGAGACCATTTTTGCTTTAAAGACGCCGACCCGCAAAATTAAAGGCGCATGACTCATATTGGACGTTTAAAGGGGGGGGTTGGGTGAAAAATTTTTTTTTGCAAAAAAAAAATTTCGACGCAAAATTGCGGACAAATTCATTTTCATTGCTGCATCATCGACGCGAAATTGCGGACATTTTTGTGGTGACGTCATAATTGACGCAAAATTGCGGATTTTTAGCGAAAAGCCACTTGAAAATCAAATAAAATGGAATCGGATCGAAATTGGAAAAATTTTTTGTTTTTTTTTTGAGACGAGTGTGCGCTGGTGTAGCATTGGCGGCTCTCCAATCCAACAAGACATTTTCGTGGTCAAGTGGATCGAAAAAGCGATGGAAAATGAAGAAGAAGCTTTTGTTGTTAACATACCGCGCATGGCGGCAAAAATAAATACAAGGCGGGGGGGGGTCTCAGTGAAGCATTTCTTTTGTAATCGGTTCTCAGGATCGTCGAAAATGAGAAATTAGCCAATTTCCGGGAGGATGAAACCCATATTTGTTGGGAAGGAATTCATTAAACCGACACACACACACACATATCAAATTGTTTAGGTTGTGCGAGTTGAGGCGAATCACGGACGGTCGCGCAGGGGAGCCACTGCGCAAACACAAGACATTGTAGGCTCTGACGAGAAAGCTGGCTGCGCTCTCGATAAGGTCAGGTGAAAGCCGATAGGTGGCGGCCGGGGTCGAACCCGCGGGGTGTCGCGCGGCGAGACAAAAGCGGTACCGCCTGCGCCACAGGCACAATTGCTCCTAGGCGCGCGGCGGCGAATGGTGTGCAAGTGCGCGCGCATCTGCCGACAATCTTCCGGGTTTTGGATAGTAGCATCAAAACTAATGTCGATTTTTCGACGATGAAGTGAAGTTTGTCGTCGCGGCGTCGAAAAATGCGTCCGAAGAAGTACCGTGGGAAAATGGTGGGGGGCGAGCGCGCGCGGCGCATAAAATGATGGGACCCACCCAAACCAAATTTGAATATTTGATGCGGCGAAACCCGATTTCTCGGCACACGAAAACTCACGTAGAGGCATGGCGGCTCGGCGGCGAACATTTGTCGGCGAGTTGGACGAGACGAGGCTGAAAATTGGTTTCATTGATTTTGGAGAAACGCATCTGCGGACACGCTCGCGGGTTTGTTCGCCGACGAAGAAATGCGAATGCGATGAGAAGGCGTCGGAATCGTGAACAAACACAAATACATTTACAACATTTTTTGGATTGGATTGGCGTGCCCCGCAAAATGCAAATAGAAAATCGCGCGCACTTTGGGCGGTTTCGACAAAAAATCGGTTTTTTTATGGTCATATTTGTATGAATGGCTTTAATTCCAAAAAAAGGCATTGAGAAAAACCCAATTTTCTGTCGGGAATCCAAAAAATTCAAATTTCGGGCAATTCGATCTGCGGACAATTTTTGCGGGAAAGCGCAACCCGTAAGGATGTCGGCAGATGGAAAAAACGAAAATTGCTAACAAATTTGTGGAATTCGATCTGCGGACAATTTTTGCGGAAAAGCGCAACCCGCAAGGATGTCGGCAGATGGAAAAATATGAAAATTGCTAACAAATTTGTGGAATTCGATCTGCGGACAATTTTTTCGAAAATGCGCAACCCGCAAGAATGTCGGCAGATGGAAAAAAATGAAAATTGCTAACAAATTTGTGGAATTCGATCTGCGGACAATTTTTGCGGAAAAGCGCAACCCGCAAGGATGTCGGCAGATGGAAAAAATGAAAATTGCTAACAAATTTGGGCAATTCGATCTGCGGACAATTTTTGCGGAAAAGCGC